TTTTCATTTGCTTGAGTATTGACCAATAAATGTACAATCAAACCTCTTTAGTATGAACACTGATAATGTGAACTTTCCATTAGTACGAACTAGGGCCAATCCTATGGTTGTCCAAGCATCTAATCAAGTTAACATTATTCGTTTACAGCGAACTCCTGTAAGGCGAACTTTCGCAAAGATGAGCTATTTTCAAACGTGATTCGAACAAAACCAGCACGCAGTACGAACTGTCGGTCCCCTTGCGTGCGCTAGCCGTCCAGCAGTCACACAGAGTGACACACACTAACAGCGATTGATCCATTTTACCCCCTCACTGGCTGCATAGTGTAACAGTGTACCACCACCCACCACCCCTCGTCCTTGATGTCCTTCTCCGCACCGGCATTGGGCACGTGAAGTCTCAGTTCTTCCTGGAAAGCACCGTCCAGTTCAGTTCAGAACTGTCCAGTTCTGCTGCAAGCTCAGAAACAGAAGAAAGGAGTTGATGGACTGGTTAGCCACTCTGTTGGTCTAACAAAAGGACTTGATTTTCCCAGGAGAATGGACAGAAGACGATCTGCCGTGTATACGGACAGCTGACTGACATCATCTGTGGATGTCGTGCACCCGCATGCTGTGTCTCCAGGCCATCAGGGTTCCAGCCTTCACCTCAGATGACATCCCTTTGGTTGTTTGTTCCCGATGCGTTTTCCTTCGCACCGCCCTTGTCCTCGGAACCAGCTACGTCGCAGGACACTTCCCTGCACGCAGCCTTCAGCTAAGATGACGCCCGTCGGGTTTTTTGTTCACGATGCGTTTTCCTTCGCACCGAAGCTCCTGTCAGTTCCTTGAGTACGGGAGCAAGGGATATTTGCTGGAGCTTTCGAGACACACCAACATAGATGATGCTGCTGAGCACCACATTAGTTCGCAGCAAGAATATGATCAGCTCAATGATCGAAGCAAGGACTTCCAGATACTGCTAGCAGCCATGAGGTCTCCTAAGTTCATGTAGGAAAGAAGATCAGAATTCCCTGATAGCAATCAGCACTTGAATTGCCAAACAAAATGCCCAGCGCAAACACAGCAAGACTGACTGCACTCACATTGCACAGAAGAAGGCACTTGCAGCACCGCAAGGCAGGCCGTTACTCTTGACATCGCCGGAGCGAGTTGAGAAGTTGACATCACAGCCGATGCAAACCTCATTTGAGCAGCAGACTGAGACAGAAAAGGTACTCATGAGCCCAGAAAAGATGCTCATGAAGACTAGAACATCACCAGGCCAGCTAGCTAAGATACCTGACGATCTTCTATCGTCACCTGCATCACAACAAGGTGATCTGCAGAAGACCACTGTACTTGTGAAGAGTGGAGCCGACGCCAACTGCCATGGCCGGGGTGGCAACACACCATTGCACTATATACCGCCATCCAGGGGTAAGACGATCTGTGCCAAAGCCTCCTCGATGCCGGTGCTAAGAAGGACAAAACTAATACTAGTAGGTATGGAGGCACACCATTGCACTATATGCCGCCATCCAGGGTTAAGGCGATGTGTGCCAAGCCCTCCTTGATGCTGGCGCCGAGAAGGCTTCACACCATTGCACTGTGCTGCCGCCGAGGAAGGTAAACCCAGGTGTGTCAAGCACTGCTCGTTGCAGAGGCAGACTGGAACATTGAGAATGAGGCTGGCGGACAGACAGATGCCATTGGACATGGCGAGAATCTACAGTCGCCGTTCAATTGCAGAGCTCAGGATTGGAGAAGGCCGCTGCAGAAACATCATGATCCCTTAGAAACATCATGATCCCTTTACTAAGTGTACTGTGATCATGCACATACAAAGCCGCTCATTTCCTGACGGATGCAGTTACATCATGCACATACAAAGCCGCTCATTTCCTGACGGATGCAGTTACATTGCAGCTAAGTATTACCTGTTATCAATATAATGGTGAAACGAATGTCAAAACCTACTAGCCGAATATTCTTCGACTTAACGAATGAGCGAATATTCTTTTGGTAACCGAGATGACATCACACGCCCTCCTCTCAGTCATTTGATGGATATTGTCATTATTATTAGGTATGACAATCGGTAGTGCCACATAAAATGTACTGCCACATAAGGCTACTTCGAAGTTCATACATGTTATGTGCAACATTGGCAGTCCAGTATGAACATACATGTGTGTGTATGCAGTACAAAGTCACAGGCAGGCTGTACGCACTGCACTGTACCGTGTCAGGATAGCGTGTCAGGATAGCGTGTCAGGATAGCCCAGTCGAGTAAACTGTACAAGATGTCTCTTTGGCAGACCATTCAGTGTTACTTGCTATCACTTCATTGTGATGGTAAAGCAATCAGTGTTAGTGTCAACAACTCTGTGTGACTGCTAGACAACTCTGTGTGACTGCTGGACAACTCTGTGTGACTGCTGGACAACTATGTGTGACTGCTGGACAACTATGTGTGACTGCTGGACAACTCTGTGTGACTGCTGGACAACTCTGTGTGACTGCTGGACAACTCTGTGTGACTGCTGGACAACTCTGTGTGACTGCTGGACAACTCTGTGTGACTGAAGTTTTCAGTTACTGTTTGATATTCAGTATTACCATTTGCTATCTTTTCTATAAATTTATCCTTGGCTCTCCATCCGACTCAATTCAATCTTACCCTTGGCTATTCTGTGTTACCATTGACTGTTCAGTTTCACTGTGGATACTAGCTCAATGTTCCTACTGTCTATTCTCCAGTGCTAATGTTGCCCATTCAGTGCCACTGCACCCCCACCCCACCCCCCCCCCCTCACCCTCACCCCCCCTCACCCCACTCCCAAACTCGGGTGTCAGCCCCGTAGCCTAGACCATACTTACTTTCATGTAAATTACTACAGTCTATGCTCAGTTGAGCCATCGTGTATACATTGGTATACTGTGCTTGGTGAAATTCTACTTTGAAGTAGCCTGGTCGTTCGTCGACACTCTGTTCTTCGGCGCTCTGTTCTTCGGCGCTCTGTTCTTCGGCGCTCTGTTCTTCGGCGCTCTGTTCTTCGGCGCTCTGTTCTTCGGCGCTCTGTTCTTCGGCGCTCTGTTCTTCGGCGCTCTGTTCTTCGTCGCTCTGTTCTTCGGCGCCCAACAGTACTGCGTCCCAGCCGTCCCAGCTGGGGCGGCTGGGACGGCTGGGGCGGCTGTGGCCGCCCCACTTTTTCGGCCGTTTCTTTTTCTTTCTTTTATTTTTTTTGGAGCACACTGCAACAAAGCACGATGATCGCAGCTCAGCGCAAACGTGGCAAATAATGAAGCATCCGTGTCCCCAATCGTGGTTTGCTGTAGAATCAAAAAGTCTTTCATTGCAGTTACACTGAAATGGCACCAAATGCCCGGAAATGTTTGCAATTGGCTTCAATTTTTGAATTTGTTTCTGGGGACGGTCCCGCATCCCCCCCCCCCCCCCCTTCCATGGCCTCCCCACCTCCAAAGTTGGTGCAATAGGCCTGTGTAGGCAGTGCCTGGGAATGGCGAAGTAAAGACTCTAGTTAGGATTAGCTTACTGGTCATTCATCGGCCCACTTGGCCATTGCTGCATGGCCAATTGGATGCGACTCTGCTGGTCCAGCAGCTGCTTGATGCGATTCTCGGCTTCTGGCTGCGCTTGCTGCATAAGCAAGCGGGGACGGAGCACACACAGACAACAGGAAAGTCAGGAACTGAGCACAAGGATACATTTCACCTGAGTACACACACACACGACTTGTTTTCAATACATGGTCCACAACATAAAACTCCATGCACGACTGACTAGAACGTGCACGGCATGACACGGGTCAAACTTGCTTTCAATTGACTTCCGGCGTACAGCATGCACACATTGTACTGAAAATACAGAACCTTCCCTGGTGGCCATATCCCGTCCCCGGGGAAATTTGCTGAAGAGAAGCTCAACATTCGCAGCACAATTTGCGGCAAAATTGCAGGGAATTTTTGACAGTTTTTAGTTAACCTCAACTTGGATCAAGTAATGCGCCTGTTACCCATACGTACAGACTAGCTTCTCGGGAGTGACAAGACCTCAATCATGTGATGCAAGCACAGTCTTTCAATATTTCATGCAACAAAGCTTCAAAAATCGCGGGGAAATTGCGGTAATCACGGAATTAGAAGAAATTTCTAAAAATCACATAAACATTCGCATCTGAGGGATCGCTATTTTCCCCGGGGACAGCTAATGTAGTGTGATGGCATGCCAAGTACTTGTAATGCCAATGGTGAACAGTGACCTCACTTAAAACATAGCCAGTAAACAGTGCAGTGCTGTTCAAGAATGTTGGTACAGTGAAACCTGTCAAGGCGACTACTCGGATAGGGCGACCACCTGTCCTACAAGGCCACTGGAACCAGAATCAAGGGATGCTCTTTCCAGTCAAACGACCCTGGATAAGGAGACCACCTGGTAACAAAGATAAACGTTTCGAAGGTCCCTAGAGCGGTCGCCTTAGACAGGTTTCATTGTATTAGGCAGAAAGATCAAGTCAGTCCTTGGCATGATGATGACTTACACCGGTGAACTGCATCTGCCCACCGCCCGGGGTCACTGCAGGGAAAACGGAGGGGGAAATCATACACACACACACACACACACACACGTACGCGCGCGCGCACACACACACACACACACACACACACGCACAAATACAGCCATCATGGGGTTAAAGGCTAATGGTACGATGCACTGGCTGCTGTCTAAGCTACTAGTATACGTATACACACAAGATGGACACACACACATACATACATACATACATACATACATACATACATACATACATACACACACATACACACATACACACATACACACACACACGCGCGCGCACCACACACACACACATCCCATCCCAGGGTGAAACATACACATGTGCCAAGTGCCCTGGGGGGGGGGGGGGGTGATCTGGGTGAATGTTGACGGCCAACAGCCCTCCTGAGGTGTACCTACATCACTCACCCACCATGTACATGTATGCATACCAGTGTCTGCTCTAGGATTTCAAATCAACCGGGTACGGTACATTCAAGTGCGGCTAGTGTACATCAGGGAATCTTAGGACTTCCTGGTTGAGTCCCAACCGGGTCACAAGTGACCAGGTGTTCTTTTTCCAAATGGGTCCAAGTACCCCCCCCCCCCCCACTGGGCGACCTGGCTCTGGAGCAGACACTGCACACCATGTAGGCAAGAAGCACACAAATCTGCAAATGCACTGGATGTGCACCCACAGATTTTTTCTTGCAGCAATGACAGGGACAAGGTCTGAATGTACCAAATCAAGACTAGCGCCCACACAAGAAAAGACAGCCAGCAGGCCAGAGAGAGGCCCTCTCTCTAGAGTGGTGTGTGCCACACATCGTTGTCATGTGACTAAAATTACGTGTGTAGAAAGTGATCATGGTATGTGGACAGTGGAACCAACATGGCCGATATCATGTGACCCATAGATGCAGGGGTTGAGTGGAGTTGGAACCAACATGGCTGTCCTATATGGTCATCATGTGATAGGTGTGAAACCACTCTATACTGGTGAATGACATCATTACAGCTACTACAGTGCTGGCAACTGAAATCCGATCCCCTGCGCAGTGCCCTCACAGCGCAGACCCAACACGGGATGGTAAAACTATGAAACAGAGACCGCTAGAAAGTGAGCGCACCGCTAGGCAGTCGGATTTCAGTTGCCAGCACTGTAGTTCTGCTACAGTATAAAGATGACACGCAGGCTGGAAAACGGTCCGGGTTTAAGAACAATTCAGGCTAGATTTACAGATTTAAAAACGCTTTTACCGTTTTGTACATATTCCCACGTGGTGTGATCGCATCGTTCAGTGTGATGCTCCACGTGAGTAAGAACAAAACGACTAGCATTTCAACATGTTAGAACAAAGCTAGGCTACGCCCTGAGCCCCTGTGTTCTTCGACGCCCGTTCATCTGACTGTAATACTGCTCCTGATACTAGCATGTATACTAGTAAATGACACATTGGCTGGTTTGGTAAATGGCACATTGGTTATTCTTCCTTCTTTCCATGTCGTATTGTTTGAATAAACCCGTTTTGAGTAAATGGCACATACTCTTAATTCAGAAATTTCCAGTGCCCAATATTTTCGGTATGAGGGCAACAGGCCAGGTTAGGTGAACAGAAATTTTAGGCACAGAGAAGCAGTTCCCTGTTGGATTATGTGTGTTAGTGTTTGTTCGGTTTATTGAAATTTTAGGTATGAAACAAACGCACCGAAAGTATCGAAAATAAAAGTACACCGAAAATTAGTGAAATTACAGAAGTTAACTTTTCACAGCTGCTCCTAATACAGCTGCTGCTAATAAAACTGCTGCTGCTAATAATACTGCTGCTGCTGCTTCTAAAACTGCTGCTACTGTTTCTAATACTACTGCTACTGTTGCTGCTGGATGCATGCCCAGGCTAGAGTTTAAAGTAGGGCTGAAACGATCGTGGATTTTCACGTATCGATTACTCTTTAGCTTAACGATCGAGTAATCGATTATAATTGTTAGCAAATAGAGTCATAATTCTGTGCAAACACTACTCTGTTTCCACAAACTATGCCTTCATAATACCAACAAATCTGCATTAGTGAAAGGGTAGCTCCGAAACATGGCAGTTTTGAAGTCAATTTAACCTCAGAACATGAACCATACCCCTGGCAACTGCATACTCCCAGCGGAAACTGATTCAAACTTCACAAAACGAGGGTTTACAGCACTTTCTGGGCAAATTTAAAAAACGCAAAATAATCATAATCGGTAATCTAAACGATTGCTGGATCGTTAGAGTTATCAAACGAGTACTCGATTATTCGGTATAATCGTTTCAGCCCTAGTTTAAAGTGACTGGTACACTGGATACCCCTTTGGGTACAGCTCTGCAGATGTCAGTGCATAGCCATGTGTTACAAGTGCATGTAGCATGCACCCTTACACACCACCACTAACAGATATTAAAACAGGACATTTATAGTATAGCGAGCAAGCACCCTTACACACCAACACGAACAGAATAATAAATCTGATATTAAAACAGGACATCTATAGTATAGCGAGCAAGCGCCGTACACACACCAACATATACAGGTACAACCAGAGTGCTGAGACATGATCTACAGCAATGGGCATCTGAAGTGGAACTGTGACCAACTAAGCATCACCATCTTCCACTATCCTCAGATCTCACTGCAAAATTACTGAAATTCTTAGTGTCACTGGCTGACTCTGAGATGGTATGCACTCTGTAGTGTGATGCCTGGGGAAGTCAGAGCACTCCTTATGAGTAGTCAGGATAGCCTGCTGTGGGTGCTGCATTCCAGAGCACCAGGGGAGGGAGGCTGCTCGCTCCCTCTCCAAAACTTAGTGCCTAACTGACACATACGTGACATAGCATGGGTAGGGAGTGTTGTCGCACCAGATGAACAAGATACCACATACCACAGGAGGCGGGTTGTCATTACGGCTCTGAGGACTAAAAGGAGGCCGCTTTCAAGTTTCAAGCTTTCAAAGGGTCTACTACGGGTTTTAGGACAAAGTGTCGCGGGCCGACATGCACACCTGCACCTGACAAGGCCTTCTAGCCATATTTGGTGTGGTCGACTCCCCACCCCCTTGTGTACGTTGAGGGAGCTTTTAACACAAGATACGTACATGTACATGACCAGTGTACATGATTGTACACTGGTCATGTACATATTCAGGGTATAATTACTACGTTCGCCGCTCCTGTGACAATCTTAGAAGCTAGAGCACAAAGAGCATGACACTCCTGCACTGTGACTTGGGCCAGTAGTGATGAACAATACCAGATACAACAATGGAGAACAGAACTGGACAACTACTCCACGTCCACATCACCTGTGCCAGATACTGTCTACAAGTACAAGCAAGCAGCATCAGTGCAAGCTGTACAAGCCCCCTCCTCCCCTCCCTTCCCTATTTTCTAGTTGTGGACTGGGGTCTGCAGACTTCACCATTCTGAAACCAGTGGTATGGATGCCAGTTGATGGCTGGATGTGCAGGCTGCACCACGCTGAAACCAGTGGTATGTGTGCCAGTCCATGGCTGGATGTGTCCAAGATACTGAGACAGAGCAAGCACTAGCAGTTCGCTGCATCATGCTGTGTTGAGTGGAAAGTGAGCTGCACATCATGCTGTGTTGAGTGGCAAGTGAGCTGCACCATGGTATGTTGAGTGGCCCTTAAGTGCAGTGGCCAGGTGTGCCCAGTGGCTTGTGTCAGCCGCTGAGTGAAGTCAGGGTGAAGTCAGGGTGGTGTCAGATGGCTGGAATGCCTCCCTACTCCCTAGCTACTATTGTGACTTGCCGGGCAGGCAGCTGAGACCGGGGTGTCAGATGGCTGGAATGCCTCCCAAGCTAACCTAGTCGTGTACAGTGTCACAACCAGTGTCCAAGAACAGCATCATGAGAAACCCTATACCATAACACCTGGACAATCCTCTTCCTCTCTTTCCTCCTGTCCTCTCCTGTCACTCACCCTCCATGCACAAAGAACTGATCGGCTGTCTAACAACGCCGTCATCTTTGTAAGTGTCCTATTACTATTAGGAGGCAAAGATGCCAAAGTTCTCCATAATCTCCAGGTGGAAATGTCACCGTCTTCATTAACGCACAATTATAGTCAACCTCCTGAATCACGACCTCGCGTATTACAACTCGCGCGACGAATGACACAATCTTTAGACCTAGCGGTCATTTAACTGAATACTTTCAAACTCGCGAATAGCGAAACTTTCTCACGCACTATCGAAGATTGGTATTCAGAAAATCGACTGTAAATTGCGCCTTTTCTCTCTCTCTCTCTCTCTCTCTGTCCCTCCCCCCCCCCCTTCTGCATACTAGGTGACATAATTCGCATCTTTTTAGGCGCTACACTCTGCGTATATACTGCTCTTGTGTGGCTTCCACGGTATTCATTGTTATTACCTGACGATGACCAAGTGCCGAAACATAAAAATAGCGTAACTGGTTCGGATGTGATGTGCTATGGGAAGGGTGTGTCCACCCGAATTCTGTTCGACTGTAAATGTTAGTGAATTTGAAATTCCGGGGTTGCACCTAAAATAATGTTTACCAGCTAAAATATTGTTGCTGCACAGATCAAAACGACTTATAACTGTACTGAATGAGGGGGTGGGGGACCTCCAGTCTCAACTCCTGAAGGACTGCGCTGCTGCTCCAACAGGACTACTATGCTCTTGCTCCTACATTATTGTGCTTCTCTATATCTCTGCCTGTCTCTGTCTCTGCCTGTCACACTCTCTCTCTCTCTCTCTCTCTCTCTCTCTCTCTCTCTCTCTCTCTCTCTCTCTCTCTCTCTCTCTCTCTCTCTCTCTCTCTCTCTCTCTCTCTCTCTCTCTCTCTGCCCCCCCCCCACCCGAGAGAGAGAGAGAGAGAGAGAGAGAGAGAGAGAGAGAGAGAGAGAGAGAGAGAGAGAGAGAGAGAGAGAGAGAGAGAGAGAGAGAGATGAAGAGATGGGGATTCAAATCAATAAGAGGGTTCGCGGGTTAAATATCCTACACAGTACGCCATGTCATTGCATGAAGCTGCACTTCATAAAGCGCAGGGCTCCAACACCCCCTACAAAACATACAGTAGTTAGTTGTATGTACAATCTGGACCACTAACCCACCATCATGCCACGCAAACACATGGAGTGGAACGGCAAAACAAATTCTTCCAAAACATTCTATCTCAATATGCACCGTACTCGCTTCCAAACCTTTCGGGTTACCTTCCAAGACTAAGACAAGCCTCACCTCCTCACCTCCTCACTTCTCCCTGCCTGATGGTAGTCTCCGCGTGAGCAGTATACAGCAAGCGAGTCACACTACAGACTCTATCGATTTCTCACACGCTTTCACACGGGTACCTGCGCACTGGTGTGACTCCAGCGCTGGGAACTGCTCGACTAGAACAAGGTGAACAGCCAGCCACACAAGGAGAGCTGAGCAGGTCTAACTTCAATTTTGATCCATTCATTCACCACACATGGATATAACTATACTCCAGTGTATCAGCAACAAAATGGAGATCAGCACCCAGTAACACCTTACACCTTGCTCTGTGCGGGCGGTGTGGCCTAACGGAATCCTAAAACCTGAGCGGCGGGCCGAGCCAGCTCAACTACCTACCACAGTAATCCAACTGCCAGTAAAACATAATGACTCTGAACAAAGCTTGCTTGATTCAGCTTCACCACGGCGGGCAACTGAGAGATGAAACTGAAGAAGAGCCCAGCTATATAACTCAATCTCCCTTACACAAGCTGCATCAGAGTAACAAAGCAAGCCTGCTTGTTTCGCAGGTCTACACTAACAAAAACAACAACTAGAAGAAGAAGCTGTCAGTGTAGAGCAGCGACTATGGCCGAGTTGATTTACTAGACAATTCTCTCTCTCTCTCTCTCTCTCTCTCTCCATGGAGTGGTGTTTACAGCTCAGACACTGGACAAACAAGTGAGAGCACCACATTGCCTGGAGACTGCTTTCCACGCCGAACGGCAGATATTCCTTGTCCAACACAGCCTGCTCATACAGCAGAAAGAGAGGGTAACTGGCTACGACCGTAAGATCAGCAGCTGACATGCTAACAGTTATTGCGGCAGTCTGATGTTTAGGCAAGCAAGAACTCAGTGTCAATTACTACATAAAACAACAACAGCACACACACACACACTCTCTCTCTCTCTCTCTCTCTCTTACACACACACACACACACACACACACACACACACGTGCACACTACACGTCTATTGCCGCTATGTGAAAATGCAACCGTGTGCCGTCATCCAACTTCTTGACATCACAGCACCGTCCGTGCCTAACACAACAACTCGCAGATCCTGTCATCAATCATCAACAGATTGTTGATTGCATCAGGAGTTCGTAGAATGTGTTTTAACCCGTGCCCCAGTCTACCAGTAACCATGCCAGAATGCAATACTCATTAACAAGTCTAGACATGCACGCGCACGCACACACACACACACACACACACACACACACACACACACACACACACACACACACACACCCACACACACTAGTGATCCGGGGGTCAGGGCAGAGCTGCAATCCCGCTACTATGCATGTGGCTAGTTCCCCATCAGTGAGTGCATGGAACAAAGCCATTGCAGGGTTCTATAACCTACTCCTCTCTGCCTAATCCAACACAGCCGAGATGCTGCCTGTTCCTGTGACTGTCACTGCTTTGTCACAGTTTCAGATGACGAGAACGAGGGCTGGATGTTGATACAGACTGTTGATAATGTTACTTGTGTGGCTCAGAGTTGGATCCAACATGCTATGCGGATGCACTAGGGCTATCTCGCTACCAATAAAGCATGCACTATGACTCTTGGCCGTGCCACTTTTCACACACAGATCCCCAGTCCACAACCAGCATACTGACTGCACTACTATGTACTGTCTTGTCAATACTACTCCGTCTGCATTTACAATATCCCACACCCATCTTCTCTCTCTCTCTCTCTCTCTCTCTCTCTCTCTCTCTCTCTCTCTCTCTCTCTCTCTCTCTCTCTCTCTCTCTCTCATCCACGACAACAGAGCACCCTGCACGGATGCGATTACCTAATGAAACATATTCCTCCTCTTCTTCTTCTTCTTCTTCTTCGCGTATGTCATGTGATACCTGTCGTCTCAGCCTACGCCCATAGTGCACATACGTGTAATCGGCGTGTACATGACTACTGTTGTTCACATTGACATCCGTTGAGAAGTCAAGCGGCCACGGGGCGCTGCTGGCCTTGCAGCCGTGAGCACTGCTGCTCCATGTTTACAGTGTGTACATGAACTATACAGTGCATGTGCATGTACCGTAAAGTACCAGAGCGCCCCACCATCTCATCCTTTCGTGGTCGTTTTGTGGAGGTGGTCTGCTGTCTGTAGGTCATACGACATGAACCTTGTACACATATTGAACGTTTTGCAGTCAATCCGTACCTTCGAGAGGACACAAGCTCCACACAAAAACCTGCCGAGTGTGACCTTAGTACACTAAGATTCTCACATCGTACACACTTCGTTGCACTCTGCCATACGATTTTCCTTTCTATGGCTGTAAAATGAAGGTGGGGCGCTCTCGCGAGACGGGGCGCTCTGGCGGTACTTTACGGTACATGCTAAAAGCAGAAATTTTCGATGGTGTAATATTTCCGGTATTCTCCAAAATCGGTAGTTCGAAATTTTCGGTGCGTTTAATTTTCGGTAAAAATTATTGTCGGCACCGAAGTTTCCGAAAATAAAACACCACCGAAAATTTCTGCTTTTACAGTACGTGCTAAAAGCAGTAAGGGTGCCGCCGCCGGTCATCCCATCGGATTTCAATCAGTCCACGACAGTACAAACACCGGAATGTCCAACTCCTCTACTCCGTTTGGCCTGGTCAGGTTATTTTTTTGCACACACACACACACACACACACACACACACACACACATGTGCACACGTGTGTGTGTGTGTGTGTGTGTGTGTGTGTGTGTGTGTGTGTGTGTGTGTGTGTGTGTGTGTGTGTGTGTGTGCGTGCGTGTTGGCCCAAGTATAGTTACAGAGAGTTCTGGCACAACACTGGCCTTTCCAATACAAACATGATTGACACACATGCTCCACTCCTGCCAGGCTCTGTATTCTGCATACTCTGGTCGAGTCATTACATGTAGATAAGAAGAAAACAGTTTGATCTATCTCCTCCCCCATCATTCAAACCTGTCATCGCTGTCAATACATAGATATTTGTGCTTGTTGTTAGTTTGACAGCATGAAACAAGGTGGAGGACACTGTGTTCGGGAACAGTGACCTTACTACAATCATCCACGGTTGGTAGAGCCCATAATACCATACGTGTACGTGCGCACATAGGTACAGATTCATGCATAGCCTGCACGCCCAGATATCACACATCAGACTTTCCAGACTGGACGGCTCATCACACTCACAGCCGTAGTAGATTGTTCGCCCGCCCACACAAACACTTGCATGCATGCATGCCATCACTGGCTGACACCATCGTACAGTGACTGCACAGCAGTTGTGACAGGTCCAGCAGGTGACTGATATACCCAATACAGACCCACTGATTGCATGACAAGTTGACAGGACTACCAGCCCACACAGACACCTCTGTCCTTATCAATTTATCAGTCCAGCCTACCAATCAGCGGATCCCAGTGGTGCTTTTTTATTTTGTCCTGTGTCCAGGAGAGAGAACAGCCACCATAATTATGTAGGACTGGACTGTACACACTTTGTGGATTATTTGTCCGGTGTGTCCAGCATAGTGGACAGCCATACGTGAGACTGAACTGTACACTCTTTGGTGGATTATTTGTCCTGTGTGTCCAGCAAAGTGGATAGCCATACGTGAGACTGAACTGTACACTCTTTGGTGGATTATTTGTCCTGTGTGTCCAGCAAAGTGGACAGCCATACGTATGACTGGACTGTACACACTTTGTGGATTGTTTGTCCTGTGTGTCCAGCAGAGTGGACAGCCATACGTATGACTGGACTGTGCACACTTTGTGGATTGTTTGTCCTGTGTGTCCAGGAGAGTGGACAGCCACCGTATGCACAATGTAAGACTAGACTCTACAAACACAGCTGAGCACACCGACAGCTTACAACAACAACAATAAACTATAACAGCTTAAATTACTGTTGTGGCACCATTTTTTTACACAAAGTGTTCATCAGGACCAGACAGATGTAGGCTGGGTGCCCCCGGAGATAAACCGTCCACCTCGTCAACACACACACACACACACACAGCATTTTAGGACATACAAACGCGCGCGCACACCACACACACACACACACATGCGTACGCACGCGCGCACACACACACACGCACACACACGTGCGCGCGCACACACACACGCACACACACATGCGCGCGCGCGCACACACACACACACACACACACACATGCATACGCACGCACACTGTGACATACACACACAGTGACACAGACAAAACACTAACAAAACACGCAAAGAACAAATGCAACGCACACACACACACACAAATACACAAAACAACATATCCAATGCCAGGAGAGAGTGTGTACATAATGATGTGTTCTGGCTGTCAAAAACAGGGTCAGGTGCATTACTGCACACTGTTTATAAAATAATAATCTGTACTTACTTGAACCCTGGGGATTGAACGCCATGACGTCGCCGGCGCAGCTCCGAGCACAGCTACTGAATGCACGTAGTACTAGCAATGAACCGCTAGAGTCCAGTAGGGCAGGTGCAGCACGCACTCAGCCAGTCGAAATCAAAACGTCGAGCCTAGTAGTAGTACAGTATCGATGAAAGTACGCTCCTCACACTGCATGCAGCGCTCCAGAGCCAAACCTCTCTAGTCAGGGACGGTCAGGACGTTGCTGATGCTCCTGATCCTGGCATTGGCGGAGAGACCTCTGTGAATACACAGCAGGCAGATGGCTGAACTGAGTGAGAACAGCAGGCACACGCACAGTCACCAAGCACAAACCAGCAGCAAATCAGCATTTCGTCCAGATCTCCCTTTCGTCTGTCGCTCCACCTGTACTGCCCTTGGGTCTGGCCAGGCGATCAGCGTGCAATTTCCACTGTGCTTGCTAGTGGTGGTGCTTGTGCAGCCAGCGCTCCATTCAATCATCTCCAATTCGCTATTGACAGGTAGCCAAAAACGACTGCGGAGGAACTCGGCCGCTGGTCAAGAGCTCCCCGTCACGCTAAGTAAGCCGACCGAGTGAGAGAACATTCAAACTCGCTAGCTGGCAGAAGCACTGGACGAACTGCGAATCTGCCAACAAATCCTACACATACAAAATTTGTTGTTTGGGGCGCTCGAGTTATAGCGCGCATTCCAAATGAACTAGTCTAATGCTCCAGCGAGTATGGCTCGCTTTCAGTACTTGCAGTTTTACGCTCATTTACGCACGAGCGAACAAGGACGCTCAGCGCTCGATCAACCAACAACCGCGCTGCATGTAGAGTGACATTGTAATGCGTGTGCACTATCTATGCATCTATGTACGTGTTTTTGACTGCTTCGTAGGTAGGTCTACTCGCAACTAGCAGAAGTATTGAGTACATCAGTTCATGGCCGCAAGACAAGAGAGAAACTCAGTCCCAGGTCAACGCTCCTCCGGACCTCCGACTGTCCTAGCTCGCTCTACGCGTGGTCGCAATCGGCAGTGCAGGGCAGTACTAATACTATTAGTATTACTAGTATTACTATTACAGTACTGTCAGTAGTGCACCTACTCACACCACACACACACAACTCACAAGCTGTGCATCGTGCGAGTGAATCACCGATGGCTTTGACTCGTTTGAGTCTGACACTGCAACAGTCTGCAATATACTGCATACATGATGCACACACTTCTTCACGCACGGCTCGGACATCTCAAAACATAAAACAGTAGATCTACTGTGACTACTAGTACTAGTACTAGTCACTACTAGTACTAGTACTAGTAGGTCTACTACTGCCATGGGACATGATCGTTGTCGACATCTCAAACAAGAGTCGAGACTCGCGCAATACGTAGATTCTACGCAGAATGTTACCACGCAAGTGGGAAAACTCTCTCTCTCTCCAGGCCACCCACACGATCTAAGTTACACTCTTCATACGTCGTCGTTGACGTACACTAGAGGGCCGTGCGGAGCTGTTGCGTAGAGCGAAATCCTAACTTCCAACCGCCTACATGACACTGTACTAGTCTGTAGCTAGCAGTACTGCTAGAGCGAGGTTTTATTGATTGGATCATGGAACTCCGCATTTCGTACCAATCACACAACGAAAATATAATGTTAAAAGATCACGATGCACGATCTGCCAAATCAATATTTTTTCTGCCGCCATTATCATTGATTATCCACCAAGGGCTACATAATTTTCCAGATGCACGGCAGGCCAGGGTGTACAACAACAGCGAAATCAGCCGGAAAAGCAAACATTTGATTGCATTGCATAACGCCAGCGCACACAAGTCACAAAATCATTTTCTCAGCGCACACACACCATGGCGCGCGCGCACCCACAGAAATAAAACCTTGATAAGACTAAAAGTAAGCACTACTACCTTGAGCTTACGGCAACAGCCTGAAGAGGGCATACTCCTTGCAATACATCTACAACTCCAGCAAGCTTACTGTTACAGCAATAGTTTCACACCCGCTTTAGCCACTAGTGAAACGCACAATCGGCTCGCTCGATTGGTGACAGCACATTAGCGAGCACGCAAATAATAATAATAATTATTACCACAGTACGCACACGTACACACCTTTTCGGTCGACTGTCGCGAATCCTCCTGCAAACCTCTGCCGAGCACCTCAGCAAGGGCAGAAATGCAACACGACGAGGATTACTAGAGACTCGGTAGAGAGTCTGGACGAAAACACAAGACTTGTAAGTTGCAGCAACTTTCACTCCACAAGGCCAGTTTTTTGTTCTCTTGCAAGTGACTACATCGCATACATATATTTTTTCGTGACCAAAACGCGATGGTCGTATGGATTATTGCATATCATGCGCGCGCTCAGCTGAGCTCACGCCAGGCTGAAACGTCAAGTCTCAAGAGTCAAGTCAAGAGGCGAACGCTCCGGTATCGCACTAGTTGTACACAGACTCGCACGCACCCTACGCTATGCATCTACAGTCTGCCTCTGCTCTCTACACTACAGCACCGGAGAAACTACTACTACATGTAGTACTAGATCTACTACCGTACTGGCAATATATGTTGCCGCAGTGAGGCCATGAAGCGTTACATTGGCACATGTTTGCCGCACGCAGGGCGTTACATGCAAAGTCGCACAGGAGCCGTTACACAGGTTTCTATATTGCCGCAGTCCTTTTTTTGCTATTGCCGCATCACTTTTTTGCTATTGCCGCATCATTTTTTTGCTATTGCCGCATCATTTTTTGCAAACTGCAATGAAAAGATCGCCGCACCCCGCCGGACGCGCGTTACGAACTCAACGAAAATTTGTCGCACTAGCCTGGTCGCGCGTTACGCCGCACCCCCCTGCGTTACGCGTTACGCGGCAACATATATTGCCAGTACGGTAGTACCAAGAGTACATAACCAGGTAAACTGGTTATGTACTCTTGGTAGACCTACTAGTACTTGAAGTTCAACTGAGTACTACAATTAGTAGCTACAGTACTCATATCCTCTAACTACATTAGGGGCCGTCCGTAATTACTAATTATCGAACGTTTTTCACCAAACGAATTATTTCAGTTTAGACCCAACCCTTCCCTCCCTCCCCCTCAGAACGTAAAAAAAGTTTGACATATGCATGCAAATACAACAAAAGTTGCAAGTGTGTAACTGCTGGCATGCATTATGTATCAATGTTTTCTGAAACGAAATTGGTCAACCCCCTCCCACCCCAGAACGAAATTATTTCGTTTTGTGAAAAAAGTTCGATAATTATGGACGACCCCTTACTCCTTAGTCATTACTTCTACTTCTAATTCTATGTCCAAGTACCATGAGTAAGTACAGTCTACAGCTCTCCTCTAGCTCTAGACTCTGGCGGCCGGAGCGGACACGCTGGACTACCTACATAATGTCTAATCGCAACAGAACTCTCAGACTCGTTTGAGTCTCTGAGTGATCCCCGCTCTCAGTATCATGACTCATGTCAAGAAAAGCCAATATCGTATCCATCGATGCATCACAATAATAATATCGACACGTCGACATTATGGCTGATTTGACTCTGAGTGATAATTATCACGTTGGACATGTCGACATGACATGACACAGCGCTGATGCACTGGTAGATATACAATGGGTGTATGCTGGGGAACTCGAAAGGGTCGTCTCGGACTCGCCTCGATCGGATCGGAGATAGCATGCAGTAGCCATGGTAGCAGCCTAGTGTGAAGTAACAGTTAGTTAGTTACGTAGTCCGCGAAGGCCCTCGATCTTCTGACAGACTTGTCAGTAGGACACTATTATTATTTTTAGACTAGTTTGAGGGAAAGACACAAGACACAAACGGGAAAAGTCTGAAGAAAAAATTGACTGTCACCACGGCACCAGGGCTCGAACCAGGGTCAGGGACCCTCGCTTGTAGCTAGCGATGCTCTAACCACTGTCACTGAGCTAGTATGGTGTAGGAGTTGCAAAGAAAGTTAATCAATGCAGGAGACCAAAACCAAGACGACAACGCAGCAACGCCATCACCATTGCGTATGGCTCTCCGGATTTCTCTGCAGACAGAGCAGCAATTCGCTTGAGAAGAGCGGAAGCAGCTCGACCGGCTCCACCTGTGGCTGAGAATACGACAGGTACGAAGGAGGCTCGCTCAACTTCTTGCACCCTCTGACCATACCTGCGACGCTTCTCGCGCTCATGGCTCTGGTAGCGAGCAGCGAGAGAAGAGGAACGGTTTGAAGGAGCGAAAGGGTTAAACACCCGTACATCAAGATAAACGCGTTCAAACCGTCCTCCCCACACGCCACTCGCCGCCACATCCAGACGGGCCTGATCCTCGGTGGACGCCGTCCGGTAGCGGAAAAGCTCGCCGGTGAGGGGTTGGAGATGAGGCTCTACTTCTGCGCTGTGTGCCACCTTCTTCAGTTGGCCAGCGATGATGTCCCGTACCTCATTGTGGCGAAGCGTCGGGAAACCACCAGTGGGGCAAGAGAGAGCATGCTCAACAGAGAAGGTGGCACCACAGACACAAGTAGAAGGGAGCCGTGCCGGGTGCCAGCCATACCGCAATGCCAGACCATCGCGAAATTCACACTTCGACAAGCTGAACCCATGCCGACTGAGGGGGCGACACGTGAGCCAGCTGGACGCACCCGCCTCACTGCCAAGGTTGATGGAGTGCTGGAGGGCAGAGGAGGCTCGGGCGGTGAATTGGCGAAGGGCTTCCGTGGCAGCTGCCTTCACATCCTTGCGGTTAGAGGCCTTCAGGCTGGCGACCTCTGCCAAAGAGTCTCCCAGGTTGAAACTCTGGGTGCGGATGTTGGCAACCATAGGAGCAGTGATGGCACGCGAGGATTGGTACTGCCGGAACGGTGGTCTAGCAATATTGGATCCCACCTCTCTGTCGGCCCAGTACTCCTACTGGGCCGACAGAGAGGTGGGATCCAATATTGCTAGACCACCGTTCCGGCAGGGGAAGGAGAAAAGGGTGCGGAGCTCAGAGCTGATTTCCTGGCCTGTGAGAGCTGGGAGGAGCTTCGTGGCAATGACCCGCTCCAGTGAAGCAAGGCCAGCAGACGCACTTTCGAGTACCCGGCAGAGGAATAGGCCTTGGCGGATAATGCCGGCAGACAAATTGGCAGAATTCGGTACTTCGGTGCCATGCTTGCTCGACTAACAAAGGTATCAGCTCCCTTGCAGGACTAAAGCAGGGTCCCCTCAAGCTCAACAGTGTAGTGAGTACAATGCTGACGACTTGTACTGAAGGTGTAGCCGCCGTACGACAACACTTGTGGCTCGAGGCCACGAGTTGTAAGCCATGATTGCTCAACTAACGAAAGTGCCAAATCCTTCGCGGGACTAATCATGGTTCTTACAGAACTCTAGAATATTTCGGAGCCCAGCTTTTGGCTGCTGAATCTCATTGCGTGGTCGCTTTCACGACGAGTCGAGTCCGGGTCATGACAGATGTGAGGAATCTGCGTGCTTTCCGAAGTTTCCCACAATTGGTGACCCCGATTTTGCCGTGTTTTACAATGTCTACGCCGGTTCGTCCCCCTGCCTCTGTCGGACGTGGACGTCCGCGGGGTTCCGGAGCTGTTTCAAATACGCCGCCCCAGTCAACTGCTTCCAGTCCCCATGCCACTGACGGACAACCTGTACCAGCACCTCCACCAGCAGCAGTAACCAGCGTTTCTCTCAAACTCCCACCTTTCTGGCCGAACGATCCGCAACTGTAGTTCACGCAGGTCGAAGCGCAGTTTGCCAATGCCATAAAGGGCATCACCACAGAGAACACTCAATACCAATACGTGGTGAGCTCGCTATCCCATGAGTTCGCTCATTAGGTGCGCGATGTGCTTCTGCAACCGCCAACTCAGCAACCCTACACCAACTTGAAGCGGCACCTCGTGAAGCGTTTGTGCGCCAGCGAGCAGAAGCGCATCCGCCAGCTCCTCACGGAGGCACAACTCGGAGATCGCCGTCCATCGCAGTTCCTCCGGCATCTTCGCCAGCTGCAGGGCACCTCTACTGTGGAGTCTGCAGTGCTCCAGGAACTGTTTCTGCAACGCCTCCCACCCCATGTACGAATGGTCCTCGCCTCCGCATCCTCACTGTCTCTGGAACAGCAGGCCTCCCTCGCTGACAATCTAATGGAAATCGCCAGCACTCCGCAGCCGGCCCTACATCATGTCGCCGCTACGCCTGTATCACCCAGCCCTGACGCGTCCATGGAGCTTCAAGAACTGCGTGCCGAAATGTCCTCCCTCCGCCAACCACTGGATCGTGCCAGCTCATCTCAGCACCGTGGTCGATCCCAATCACTAAGGCATGGCCGTAGCAAGTCTCCCCAACGGCCACAGAAAGACCAGCCTGACGACACTCTCTGCTTTTACCACCGCCGATTTGGCGATGAAGCACAGCGCTGCACGATGCCATGTTCCGAGTCGGAAAACTTCCGCGCCAGCCATTAGCTGCGGCGTCATGTGCTGGCGAGCAGTCACCTAATCGCCTCCACCACCTGACTGACCCCACAACTCGCACACGTTTCCTGGTCGACACAGGAGCTCAACTTAGTGTTTTACCGGCCACCCGCACTGATCGCCGCGGCACATCGTCCCATTCACTCCGCGCTGCCAACGGTACACCCATTGCCACATATGGACACCGTAGTGTTACTGTGGACCTGGGACTCCCGCGCCGTTTTCAGTGGGTCTTTGTGGTTGCTGAGGTGGAACAGGCCATTCTAGGAGCGGATTTCCTCCATACTCATCACCTGCTCGTTGATATTCGTGGCAAGAAGATCGTTGATTGCCTCACGAATATGTCCGCAAAAGCGCGCACCACGTTTACTGCTTCTCCTGTGCGTCCTGTCGTTAACCTCCTGTCGGCACCTCCTCCTGTCCAGGAGTTGCTCACCGAGTTTTCAGGCATTACTCATCCGTTCTCCGCCGTACAAGAGCCCCGGCACTCGGTTGTTCACCATGTGACCACCAAGGGTCCCCCGATCCACGCCCAAGCTCGCCGCCTCGCACCTGACAAGCTACAGTCAGCCAAGGCGGAGTTTCAACACATGCTGGATCTCGGGATTATTCGCCCTTCGTGCAGCCCGTGGTCCTCACCATTGCACGTGGTTGCTAAACCTTCTGGTGATTGGCGGCCGTGCGGAGATTACCGCGCACTGAACAATTTGCCCCATGACTGATGCCTCTAATTCTGGCATTGGCGATGCACTTCAACAGTTTGTCGATGACCAGTGGCAACCTCTCGCCTTCTTTTCTCCTAAGCTCACGTCTACCCAGCAGCGGTACAGCACCTTCGGCCGACAACTCCTCGCCATGCACTCCGCTGTCAAGCATTTTCGTTACTTGCTGGAAGGTCGCTCCTTCTTCATTGCCACTGACCATCGCCCCTTGACTTCCGCTTTGGCTTCACCTCCAGAGCGCTACTCTCCACGCGAGGTACGTCATCTGCAGTTTATTTCAGAGTTCACCACCGACATTCGTTTTGTCCCTGGCCTGGAAAACCCTGCTGCAGATGCCTTGTCCCGTATTAACAGTGTCTACCACCCTACAGATTGTATTGACTTCAGCGCATTGTCTGCTGCTCAGCGCAATGATGATGAGTTGATCGCCCTTCGATCTCGACCAGACACCAGCCTAGTGTTTGAAGATCAGCCCTGCCCTTTCGCTGAGTCTACGATTGTTGTTGATACTTCTACCGGCACAGCCCGCCCCTATGTTCCGCAGCTGTTCCGACGTTCCGTGTTCGATACCTTAAATGCCTTGTCCCATCCTGACATACGTGCGACGCAGAAGTTAGTCTGTTCATGCTATGTTTGGCCCGGCATGAATCGCGACATCCGTGACTGGTCCCGCGCTTGCTCGCCATGCCAACGCTCCAAGATCCACCGTCACACCCGCAGCAAACCTGGCATCTTCCCATTGCCTGAAGCCCGTTTTCAGCATGTGCATCTTGATATTGTTCGACCATTGCCCATGTCCAATGACTACACGCACTTACTGACGTGTGTGGACCGTTTCACCCGCTGGCCTATCGCTATCCCTCTCTCGAACACAGTTACTTGTCCCGCCTCCGAGAGTTTGTTCACACCCTTCACCCTAGTGCCTCTCGTCCTGCAGCTACACCCCTTCACTTGTCTCCTGACCTGCAGACCTGCACGCACGTCTTCGACAAGAGTACTGAGACATTCGACGTCCTGACACCTAGCTTCAACATCCGAGTTTCAAATAGTGGATAATGTCGGGAAATTTCAGGTTTTTGGCTAAAGCCATGAGGTGCAACGCCATGTACATGTTTTGTACAGGCACATGACTTTGTGATTTTGTAGACACGTAATACTTTTAGCACTAATGCTACATTTACCTGACTGCGCATACATGTACTAATGCCATCGCTACGTACATAAAGTCTTTATGTAGCAATTATGTAGTCAGGTAAAAATGTACATGTGATATAGCGTGCAACTGAGGCTGTTACACAAAATCCGTAAGGACGTTTTATTCAAGTGAATATCAAACAGACGAAGAGGAGTTTTCCTGTTATGCTACACTATAGACTCTGGCCATAGCATCTCTAGCGATACTGAAGTAAACACTGATCCATTGATAAATTTGGACCTGGATGAAGGAGCGGCTATAAACAGAAAGAGCTTGTTCCGAAAAACTGCCTTTGCCGAGTTCAGCTCAGCAGGCTAGAAAAGAACTAGAATTTCTACGCAGTACCAAGTCGATTTGAGTGCTCAGCAGCGCATGTCTTACTTTCCTGGTGAAGCACGTACAGTTAGTCGTGGACGATTGTAATGCAGGGAATACAGTCAAGTGCTATCAGAAAAGAAGAGTATTGCGGCCAACCATTTGTCTCCACGCAGCCTCAGGAGAAGAAGACAGCCAGCGGCAAGCAGAGGATGTAGGGCGGCAAAACAACTTCTGACCACGTGTTTTCAGGATTTCTGCAAATGGGAGGGATCTCGATCTGAGATCGTCTCTCAGGAACTGGCCTCACGTGATCTGTTTCAGATGAAGACATTTTTCACAGAGCTAGAGTGGAAGCAGTGACAGCTTGTCTGCAGGCAGGAATACCACCTCCCATGGTAAGCTTTCAGCATCTAAAATGATCACCAGCAATAATGGTTTCACTCTCACTACATGGATAAGCAAGGGAAAAGATTTGATACACCCACTATTCAGCCACAGCCCTGCATCAAAGTTGCAATGGAGAGCAGCCAATGGAGACGCGATCATGTCTTATAGTGCTAAGAAGTGGTGAGAGATATTGTAGCTACTTCAGAGGCAGATCAACTAAATGCATTCTTTCCTGGACGTTTGACAATGTACAGCCTTTCTTCCATTTTTGTCCCAAACCAAGAGCATTATAGCTAGCCTTGTTGAAGCATTATAATAAGCATTACAAGGCAGTTTTTGGAGCATTATGATTAGCATTATACGAACATTTTCGGAGCATTATCCGCTGGACTCTATTCGAGGGTATTAAATAATAATAGTAATACGACACCGTCTACCAATTTGATGACCTAGGCAAAAAAAGCATAGGGATGTTATAAATGTTTCATTTCTCCTATTTAAAAAAAAGAAGACATAACCTAGGATTCGAACCCGCACTATCGCCCTGCGTGCATTCCTCTGATAGTGATACATGACTGTACACTTCGCATACATACTCATTCTTCCAAGTTACTTCACGTTATGGTTTTGCATTTGAAAGCCTTATTTGAATATTGTGGCCAGCTGTCTTTCATGGTACGGCACGGGACAGGTACGGGATAGCGCCAGGCATGCCGATGCTGTCCTTGATGGTACGGCACCGGACAGGTACGGGATAGCGCCAGGCATGCCCTGCTGTCCTTGATGGTACGGTACGGGACAGGTACGGGATAGCGCCAGGCATGCCGATGGCACAAACAAACACGAAATTAAAGCTGTGTGGACCCTGGCTAGCGCCAGACGTTACTGAAGTAACGTCTTTTGCATAGCTACGGGAATAATAGCCAATGCAATCCCATTTCAGCCAATCAGGAGTAGCCCTTTCCCAAAGGTGCTCGCCCTTCTTTCGCCCTTTTTCGCCTTTTTGGAAAAGCCTGTTTCTTTCGCCCTTTATTGCGTTTTTGGTGAATATCGCCTTTTTTGAGCTTGTTTAGCTGAAAAAGTGCTGAAATCTGTTTGCTCGTGCACGCGGTCACAGTTTCCGAGTGCTCGATCTGGATGGGCCTTGGCACGCCGCATTTTCGGGGGGGGGGGGGGGCAACAAGTTGGTGAAGCTTGTACCCGGTGTACAGAATGCTGTAAAAAGTGGGTTATTTATTTATTTATGGGGTAGTGCCTTTGCTGTTTGCGTTATGCAGAGCTCACTGACTTGTCAGTTTGAGCACTCTGGCAAGGTACGTTCGGGCCTGATTGGAAATTTTTATTCCATTGCTATCAGGTTCGGCCTCATTTCCTCTGTGCTGCGCTGATGAGTTCAAAAAGAACGAAACAGCATGCTGTCCGCAGATTGAGTATTTATTTATTTATTTATTTATTTCTGCACCTCGTGGCATGTCAAGACAGCCAATTGAATTGAGGAGAGGGTGAGACCAACCACGGAAGAAGAGAAAAAAAGAAAATGAAGAGCACGTACACAAAGTGGGAAGGGATTAGCAACTTAAAAAGCAATGAACTTTACTTCCTGTTTTGCCTTTCGTGGACCCATAAATGGAAGCGTGCGTATTCATTTCTCAGCTTGGGTTCATATCTGAACATGTATCATGGCTATCCTTCACTAAAAAAAGAGCACTTTTTGCCTGTTTTCACTGAAAAAAGAGCACTTTTTCAGCATATTTTGAGGGATGCGAAAAGCACTAAGTGCAAATTAAAAGAGCACCTTTGGGAAAGGGCTAATCAGGAGCCTTGCTGAGCGGGAAATAATGGTTCACTTTTACCGTACCCACGGTGCACCCTGCATTGACATGCACCCACCCCTCTCGATTCGATGGGTCTGGACGGGGGGGGGGGGGGGGGGGGGGGGCAGACATACTCTCAGGATTCTCTGATTCCAGGTTCTTTACGGAAATATACCAGGAGTCCAGATACCCATTCCTCACCCTCACCACACAAGAAGACCAAAGCTTCACTCTAGGACCAAGTGTAGCATGGCCCAAGTGATTGGGCACACAACAACCAACAAGTCTCACCAGAGCAAGGAGAAGTTTGAAGAAATGAAGGATGATCTTTCTTCAGAGACAGAGCTTTTTATATGTGCCAAGACTAAGACAGTTCAGGTTTCACATAGCAACAAGCAACGATTTAGACCAATCAGGAGACAGAGAGATGGCACAGATTCGGCCAATCAGAAGACATGTAAAGGAAGAAAGGAAAGAAAAAAGGAAAGCTTCTGAAAAAGGTAGGTTTGAACTTCACATGCAAAGGATACTAGTCTTATTACTGTACAGGTTTTAACACACCAAGCTACAGTGACACAGGCACTAGACTACAATGCAACAGGTACAGGATTGAAGAATCTGCATGCTCTACATCATCGGTTGAGTGCACCGCTAATCTTGCAACCCAGATCGCCACAGGCGGCTCGGACCTGATAGGGAGTATCAGACAAGACCATGAAGCAAGGACTGCCGTGAAACAGCGTCACCGCGCCACCCTCGACACCAAGGCTAACGAAATCCAGTCTCGGCTGCCCGAGCCACAACAACGGGCCATGGCGTTGGCAAGAGAGAAGGGAGCCTCCAGCACGCTCACAACTGAGCACGGATTCGGCTTCGACGTCAAGTCAGACTTCCATGACCACGTGCCCATGCGAGCCACTGGACAACCTGCCGGCTTCTTGCCCATGTGGAGCACGCTACTCGGTGGATCATGTGCAGATTTGTAAACTCTCCGGCTTCATCCATATGCATCACAATGATCCTACCGACTTTATCGCCTCATGCATGAAGGAGGTGCATTGTGACGTTGAGGTGGAGCCGAAGCTCCAACCTCTCACCGGTGAGGTCCTCCAGCGACGCACCGCCAACACCGATCCGGATGCCCGCGCTGACCTGAGAGTGAGGGGGTTCTGGACGGATAGCAGAAACGCATTCTTTGATACAAGGGTGTTCTATCCCCATGCATCAAGCTACCGCTCCAGATCCCTCTCCTCTCTGTACCGAAGCTTTGAAGTGGAGAAGAAGCGTGCGTATGGGGAGAGAATTCTCCACGTCGAGCATGGTTCCTTCACCCCTCTGGTCTTCTCTTCCTGTGGGGGGATGGGCCACGAAGCTGCCATCATGGTAAAGAGGCTGGCAAGTGCTTTAGCCGTGAAGAGGCATGCGCCGTACAGCCAGATGGTGTGTTGGGCCTGTTGGCTCAGATGCATGCTAAGCTTTTCGCTAGCCAGATCTGCTATTCGCTGTGTCCGTGGATCACGCTCAATTCGCCCCGGTCACTTTGACTATGCCCCTGTCGACCTGGTCCGATCAGAGCCACACCCAGGGGAATGAAAGAAAAGTCAGGAGGAGTCTGAGAAAGAGAAGAAAGATGTGTGTGAACCCACAACCCCTCGGTTGGAAATCGCTGCACATACCACTGCACCATTATGGCGCGCGCGCGCGCGCGCGCACACACACACACACACACACACACACACATACACACACACACATACACACACACACACACAAACACACACCAGGCGCGTACGCAGGGCCACCTCTAGGGCAGTTTCCAACCGAATCCCAAACAATGAGTTTAAAGTTTTAACGCTTTAGGAAATTTTCAAAATTATGCATTTTTCAGGTGCTTTTGATCATAACTTCAGTTCTACTCACTCAATCTTCATTATCGTGGGCTTCCGGGAAGTGGAAAGGTACGAGTACCCGGGAGAGAATGAGGTCGACCATGATAGCCAGGACACAGTACAGTCATGTATATATCCAGCGCTATAGCGGTAGATCGTATAGAGTGCAGCGACGGTGCGAAAAATGCCCCAAAACTTGCAAAAGCCCAAACGCGTGCTGCTCCAGCGATTTCGTTTTCTTGATCGCAGAGTTTCGATTTTTTTGCTGTGTACTCTTGAAAATATCACAAGTGAATCCCCTGCGCAAAAGCTGCGCAAGTCAGCGACTCAGCGTGACCATGGTGACGAAAAGTCTAAAATTAATTCTCGATACTCAAGTCGCACTGCGCGATTTTGAAATTGCCGAGATCGCGGCTCAACTTACGAATGATTTATCTCAAGAGAAATTGCTCGCAGCGCGTCGCTAATTGTTCAACCGACAGCTGAGAGTCTTCTATTCGACCTTGACAGTTGGATCGTTGGATTTGGGCGAGATTTGACTGAGTTACGATCTGTTGAAGTTTTGCATTCTTGCCAGAACGATCGTGCGCCCTACCAAAAAATGCCCAAAACGTGCTCGTTTGGAACATTTGGGGGGTTTCCGGGCAACGGGACCCCCCCCCCCTGCGTACGCGACTGGTCACACCACTGCAAACCAAACGCACAAATCACTGTATCGCCACTGCCCTTAGTAGGCCTTACCGCAGGCTAGGCAGTGTATCAAGATTAAAAATTCCCATGCCACTAAAACAATACTCCCATGAAGTAATAAAACAACTGCAAGAGAAAACACATGACGATGTAGATCAGAATCAACAGACCTCTAAAAAGAAATGGTAGAAAAGTAAGAATATTCATCATGACGGGCAGCAGGGAGTCGTAAAATACCGGTATTTTACGACTCCCTGACGGCCGGCATCACATAACATGAGACTGTGAATAATGACAACAGACAGCTAGCCATCATGCGCTCACGCCTACGCGTAGATACGAAGTCCATCTAATGTGTGTGTCAGCACGCGTGTGTGTGTATGTGTGTGTGTGCGCGTGTCGCAAAATGGGAAGCAAGCGGCGCATTGTGCTCTTCCAATCTTTAATACACGCAGTTGGACAGTGCCGATTCAGATCACTCCTAAGTACGATAGACAACAATGTTACAGCGATAACAATCCGTCTAAAACACCGGCTACGCATAGCATGATAACACACTATTATTATTTATGTTAGCACACTTTCCAATCAACTAAATGTATAGCTCTTTGCAACAGAAAACGGAAGAGTAAAGAATAAGCGGATCTGTGCATCAGAGTATGATGGGTGATGGGTGCGAGAGCTTGGGCCTGTCACTCGGGCAGTTTGGGCATTGTGACCGAGTAGGGACAAGCCCCAGTGCCTCCTTCGATAGGAATAGAATATTTTTCAAGAGTTCACAAAACAAAACTACAAAACATACACACACACACACACACACACACGATCGCTCACGCACCAACCCCAGCGGCAGGAACAGGCTGCGAGAGCGCTACGGTCGAGAGGACAATCGCCGTGAGCCGCGTCACCAGCAGCAGTTCCGGATCGTCGCGCAGCGGAGGAACACACATCGCATGCAGCAGCACCATGCCTGGAGAAGACGCTCTGGAAGGGGATGAAGTCAGAGACTGTGATTGCGATTGGGGTAGTTCAGTTTCAGTGTCGCTGGCCGTGCACAGGAGTGACCTGAGCTCGGAGAAGTGATCACCGGACGGGCACACATCCAGCGGTGTGTGGCCTTCCAACGTCGCGGCGCGCAGTACAGCGGGGCCTAATGACACAGACACACACGCACAGACATAGACACACACACAAACACACACACACACACACACACACGCATGCACACACACGCAGACAAACACACATTTGACCTTTGAATGATAGCGATGCTACAGTAGAATCCATAGCAACTTGTGCTGGGATTGAACCATTCGACAGCTTGCAAGGCTGATGAATTGACTGCCACTACAGTGCGGTTTTTAAACAGACATTTGTCGATTTTGATTTTTTAGTTTGTTCTCATTCAAAATTTGAATTTTTTTCTTCACAGCTGCGTTTGTGTGGGTCTTGGATGGAAGAAAATTAAAAGTTTGGGAGTCGGAATAATAATAATTGTCAAAGTTAGATATTCGGCCGGGTTTTGGCTGGAAATCTGGTTTTAAATGGTTTTCAGTGGATTTTGATTTTTTAAACGGAAGTTTTAGCCAGGAAAGCTCATCACTTGCATAGTGACCGGCAGAGTTCGAATCCAGTACAGTTCATCTTGATTCTTTTTTTCTCTCTTCTTTTTCGGTATACTGTAGTACAGCGCATGCATGTACATGTACATGTACATGGCTGTGCAGTTGTGCACTGCTGTCTGCAGTTCTCCTAACCTTTGTAGGAAACCAGTGAGTCGTGGCTTTTCACGACTTACTGCGGCAAACTGTACTGAATAATTCAAATGCTGTATTGCAATTAGCTCAATAAATCAAAACATTCCAGCATGCATGAAGAAAACTTCCCTCGATCTCTGAAAGAATGCAGTGAAAATTCAAACACGACAACAAATCACAAGGGCAATTCACACAGCTCCCATAAAGAGACTAACAAAAAGGAAGCATGAGCGGTTTTACAAACACACAAACACACACACACACACACACACACACACACAAACACACAATGCAAATAGGTCACAGTTGTGTCTGGTTCAACATCTGCGAATAGTAGAAGACCAGCGAGCGTCGAAACGGCCCCAATAATTCCGTGTTTTGTGTTGCACTTGTGACGACAGTATTACACAGTGAACAGATGTGCTAGGACAGCAGACGACGTATATCATCGTTGGCGTCGGCCTCGTCGGTCTCCAGTCACGAACACATCGGCGCAGTTTTTCACGAATCCGTCCCGTCCACCAGTATGCAGAACAATAACACGCTTGCCTTTACCTGATGGTGCTTCATTTGGTTGCTTGCCTATACACTCCTGTCACCATTGTCGTACTACCTCCTAGTAAGGCCACACTTTGTTTTTTCTATGTTTCTCGTCATCGCCCGCGTAGGTTTTCAGAAATTTCGGAAGAAAAAAAAAGTTCATACTATGTACATGTATGTGCGCTGCACATGCTGCAGCAACCAGATGCGTCAATCAAAATCGTAAACGTTTGCAACACAGCAGCAAAGGAGCGCTCCTCGTCCGTTCTCTGCGATGAAGGCTGTCATTACGAAGCTTTCAGTCGTTCACTGCCTGAGCCTCGTGGGTCCCAGGAATACCGTAAGTCGGACGAGTTCCGTTGCAACTGGCGTCTGTGGAACGATGTCGTAGGCAGAAAATCCAAGCAATAGACGCATGGCAAGGAAAATATGAGCAGCATGGAGACAAGAGTTTGATAAGCGGACACAAGAACTTTGAAGTAACAAAGCCAAAATTAATGACGAGTGGGAAGCGTTTGTTGATGCGATAGCAGATAAATGTATGTTCTCTTCGCCATCTCGTAATCAAACTTTATGCTCTCATTGTTGCAGTTTGCCTGATATTCGTGGGCTGATGTGATAATGTAGTGCAATCATGTATGGGACTACATGTACATGATTGTACAATGTAGTACTGTATACATGGTATACGCAGTGTCTGGTATGAATCACGCATATACATGTACATTGAAAAATGTATACAGTTTTCAGTAGAAATTGTTCTTGTTTTTCCTTGGCTTTTGTTTTTTTTTCGCCCGCCCGCGTACCTTTTGTTAAAATTTGCCGACGAGAAACATAGAAAAAACAAAGTGTGGCCTAACTGTGTGACGCGCATTGACCCACGTCTCATCCAGGCATGTCTCACAGGTAGCGATGCCGCCATGACACAATCCCGTGCCGTTCCATCATCATGTGAGTGATGCCTATGGTCTTGCCACACTGGAATCCCATGGAACGCAACATTTTCCAAGAGCTAGTTTTGCTCATGTCTGAAAAATCGTCGATGGTTTCTCTGCAGCGAGCAGGAACTTTGTCCAGTGTTGGGTGCTCCTTCGCAGCATAGAATCCGTAAATTACTTCTTATACAGTCCAAAGCAAATCCGTCAGGGTTGAGTGGTTTCATGGCACGAGTCTCACATCGGGGATTGTCACTCTCGTTACCTTCATCACTGGAGACAGACAAGGCCAACGCAGCACGCTGATTTTCGCCGTCAGCATCCCTGGTACATCTGTTCATGGTGGAAATGCTGACGCCACACGCAACAGCAGCATGACGAATGGAATACTTGGGACCAATTCGATGCCCAGCCATTGTTCTCCTCGTCTTCGCAAAAAATTGTAAAACAGACACCACCATGTACCATGGCCCGTTCGCGTTTTGTTATGTGGCATGTCGAGAGAACAAGTTGCCACGAACGAAAAGACACTCGAGAAAAAGCAAAATAGGGCCACAGAGCAGCAGTCAGCAACAAAATGATTCCTCCAGCCACGAGGCAACAAGGAAGGAAGCTCGAACTCGTCGAAGGACACTCTGAACAAAATGGCGAAATGCCACGAGTCACACCTGGTTTTTCGAATTTCGCGCGCAGATTTTCGTGACGCAACTCGCATGACATTTTCTCAAAAGTGTCCTTGAGTACGTTCTCAAGCCTTTCAGAGTCTATTATAAAAAAAACACACTGTAGTAATTAGCCAGGTCAACACGGTTTGACGTGGGGTTTTCTGGCCCATGAATCCCTACTTTTTGTTCTTTTTCCCCTTTTGCCCGCACACACATCATACCACGTACAGCAGTATGCACTGGTTGTTGGTAACCGCCAGGAGAATGAAAGAAAAGTCAGGAGGAGTCTGAGAAAGAGAAGAAAGATGCGCGACGGTGTGACCATAATCGTCGGGAATCGAGCCCACAACCTCTCGATTGGAAATCGGCTGTACATGCCGCTGTACCATATGGGACACACACCATGCACACACACAGACCCCCCCCCCCCCCCCCCACACACACACACAGACCCCCCCCCCCCCCCACCCCCACACACGAACACATCACCTACCTCCTGCATTAACAATAAGCCGCGCGACCTCCACGTGCCCGTTAGTGACAGCATCGTGCAACGGTGTCACACCATCCTGCGGTGCAGCTAGCAGATACAGTCCGGGCTGGCCAGGCATGACCGTCGTACCGTACTCCAGCAGGGCGCGTACGCACTCGACGTGACCAAAGTTCGCCGCCTCGTGCAGCGCCGTCCAGCCGGCATGATCGCACATGTTCGGGTCGGCACCGATCGCCAGCAGCTCTCTAACCCGGTCAACCTTGCCCTTGATGCAGCTCTGCTGAAGCTTGCTTTCACCTGATAGCCGTACGGTAGACAAACCAACAACAACAGCAGCAGCACACTATGCTGAGTTCCTGTCCTGTCCTGTTACCCAGTCTGCGGTCAGAAATCAAACTGTTTTGCCCCTTGTAGACTCATCAACACAGCACAGAGAAAATGAAGCCGGCGGACCTGATTGAGTATTTCGACCTTTGCGACAGTCGCCACCAAGATAAAAGCAACCGACAACTACCAGAGGTACTGACCTTTCGTGTTCCTCTTGTTGATTGGCGATGTGATGGATGCTACGGCCGCTGGACGTCGTACCGGTGAGCCACACCCGCTGGCGTAAGTCTCCTGCTTCATCTTCAAGTTCCGCTCGTCTTTCAAAAGCTCTTCTTTTGCCGAACGCCTGTGAAGTGTCGCATACAAGCAGCCGTGGACAAGGAGCTGGTTGGTTCAACGTCAAATAGTCATGGCAGACACGGGCAGATCCGATGCTACTAAATACAGGCTTGTCGGGGAAAACAAGTGCGGGCTTGCTTGCATAAGAAAATACAAATGAGAGGTGTGAATGCACCCCCTACCCCACATCACCACCACACACATATACACACATGCACCCCCCCCCCCCCCCTCCCCCCCACACACACACACACCAGAATGCTGTGCAACACACCTGCACTTGCGCGTCAACTTGACGAGTATGGCAGTCAGCTCAGTCACACCCGGCAAGGAGGAATCGGACGACGAGAACGCCAAATCAAGAGCTGAACGCTCTGCACAGACTTTCATTTGGGACAAGCGAGGTTCTAGCAACCTCCACGCTACATCTGTTCTCAGCCATTCCGGTTTGGTCATGCCCAGAAGATGCATGGTGGCCGGGGATATCGTAGAGCAGGATAGCTGTAATTCGCGGACGAGGGCTGTCTGACGAGTGCGAGTGCCAGCACGAGTGTCCGCTCTCTTGCAACACTCGGCCGCCATGCCAATGACATCGAGAAGTAAAGATAGCCGTTGTACCTATACATGAGAGAGAGAGAGACATGACGTATACGTATGAACAAAAACACACATAAGGACAAACGGAGAGAGAGAGAGAGAGAGAGAGAGAGAGAGAGAGAGAGAGAGTGTGTGTGTCTGTGTGTGTGTGAGAGAGAGAGAGAGAGAGAGAGAAAGAGAGAGAGAGAGATAGAGATAGATCGATAGAGAGAGAGAGAGGGAGGGAGAGAGACAGAGAGAGAGCGAGAGAGATAAACTCTATCTGGGGTGGTAGTCTGGGAGATAGAGAGCAAAGTACTCTACTGGCAATGCTCTACGACAACGGCAACCCTTTGGTCCAGACAGCTGGCTGAAACCTACCGTATGGTATAGTAACGGTGAAGGTGGTGTACTGCCGCCATTACTGTCACTGCTATTGCTACTGCTGCTGCTGGTGGAGAGATCGGCAGTGACTACTGCTGCTGTCGATAGCTTATTGAGGCGCTTGGACAGCTTGACGGCCACGGCGAGGAGGCGCCGTAGGGATTCAGAAACCCCGGTGCATTGTCCATTGCCTCCCGTCCACAGAAGATAGTGTAGAAGTGAGGACGGCAGTGAAGATGTCTGCGACGACTTCTGTGCACCACTGGTGCTCCTGACGCAGATTATTCAGCGAAACAAGATACAGAATAGCAACAGCATCAGTTGTGTACAGTACAGGCTGCGCTGATGGCAGAAGTGAGAGGACAGAAGCATCAGTACATGTACTAGGTATCTGGTCGATTCTGGAGTTCGGGTGACCTTGCCCGAACAAAACGGGGCTTTATCGATAACGACCCATTTTGCGGGGTTTTCCTCCCGCACTCGATTTATTGTCGGGTATCTATAGTCACGCTTGGGCGTGCCCTGAAACTGCCCCGGTTTTTACTCAGGTCTTTATTAGTCTTTCAAGTCCACAGCCTCAACCTGTATTAATACGTCACTTCAAACTCTTCATCACTGCATGCGCTCTCCGGGCAATGTCCTTGACCAAACCAGCAGGAAAGCAACTCCAATAACTAAATTCAGATATGGATTCCTTCAGACGGCCGAGAGAATGGTGGCTGCCGCGCAGTGGGATGACGCGTACAAACCGCTCGAGATACACACTGCTACACCTGAAGAGAAAGTTGTCACCGCTGAGAAATGTCATCATCACGACCACAACCAAGACGACCATTACCAGCAGAAACAGCACCAGCACCTTGTTGGGTAAGTCATGGGCGGCAGCACCTGCCTGATTGGTTTCTGCCCAAGAAGCGTGTTGGAAACCTCCATTCAATGAATAGATTCTTGGTTGGAGGAAAACAAATCAGCACACGAAACCCAAAAGCTATAATAGTTTCCCAATATAGTGTCGAAACTATATTGGGATTATGGCTTCTGTGCTTCGAGTGCCTTCATTGAATACAAACAGAAACTTCAAAGTGTGCAACCTACGACTGGCCACGTGCGTGGGTGTGCGTGAGAGAGAGAGAGAGAGAGAGAGGGGGGGGGGGGGGGCAGACAGACAAGCACACACGTGTAAAGACGAAGATGAATGCATGACTCAGACATGACTCAGACTGGCGTCCAGCAACTGACATTATCATCTCACTTACTCCTTTGCACAGTGCTGCAGACTCCTGCGTAACAGCTTGACCAGAAAATTACAGAAATAGGTCACACCTGCATCTGACGACTCATTCCTAAGTCACATGCGTATGTACACACACGCACACACATACGCACGCACGCACACACACGCACACACACACACACACGCATATACACACGCACACACACACACATACACACACACACATTAACGAATTTCAATATCATAAGAAGCAGTTAGATGCACATCTTTCACACTTTTGGCAAGGATTCCGTATAGGGTTGAACGCATGAACCACGCTCACATATAGATCCGCGGGCGCATGTGTTGAAGTCCAGTTTAACATGTGGAGCACGAGGATGCATGGATGGACTGGCCATGGCGCCAGGATAACACTTACTCGAATGCTGCCAACGCCAGCTTCAGTTGATGGCGATTGAGCCTGAACACAAGATCATGGTCTCGGACTAGCGGCGATGGTGCTGATATGGCGGTGGCGGAGGGAAACGATGATTCAATGTTGTCCTTGGGTACCAGCGCCCGCCAGTATAGCTCGGTAATGGCCTGGGTGAAGTGCGGTGGCTGCTGTTGAAGAAGCTGATCGAGAACTCGCGATGCCGTGCATGATAGATTGGTGTCGGTGCATTCCTGCAGCAAGAGAAGCATGGGGATAAGACACAAGACACAACTCACATTTGCAGCCACATTTCAATTACAGGGCACATGTAACGCACGAAGGCAGGCAGATATACACATGCAAATATGTGTACACGCACGCACGCACGGGCACACACACACACACACACACACACACACAACACGCACACACACACACAGTACAGCAATCATGATCACATCACTCACCAGCATGCACTGGTGGAAGACGCTATTCAGAGACTCTGGCGACGGTAGCACCGGTGTTGCCATAGCAATCTGTATGCAGTGCAGATGGACATACGGCTGTGGATCACTGCCACAGTACATCTTGGTGATCTCGTCCCATTCTCGCGAGAAGCGATTGTCCAGAGGTCTGAGGCGAGCCTGCATAGTTCAACATGCACCCACAGACACACCCACAGACACACACAGAGACACACACATACACACACAGAGACACACACACACAAAACACACACGCACACCCACAGACACACAAACACACACGCACACCCACAGATTGAATATATACTTGGTTGGATGGAAACAAACCAGCACAGCACACAGAAGCCACATCACACACATCATTTTTCGTACCATTACTTTTCAAGTCGAACACACTGGTGATTAACACGGCAGCAAGCAAGTCCTTATAAGCGGCACGCTGGCGGTCAGAGCAGTGACAGAATAGCATCTAAGATAGCGCTAGTGGTGACAACTACACAGTGAAACAATCAATGAAGAATGTACAGTAACACGGTTACACCTGTCAAGGCGACCACTCGGATAAGGCGACCACCTGCCCCAGAAGACCACTGTAACCAGGACCAAGGGATGCTATTTCCAGTCAAACAACCCTGGATAAGGAGACCACCCTGACAACAAAGACCACATTTTGCAGGTCCCTTGTGCGGCCGTCTTAGACAGGTTTCACTGTATTATCAAACAACAGCGGGGACCACGGTACTACAATGTCAAACAACAGTGGGGACCACGGTACTACAATGTCAAACAACAGTGGGGACCACGGTACTACAATGTCAAACAACAGCGGGGACCACGGTACTACAATGTCAAAAAACAGTGACAACTTTCGCACATACTTCTTTTGCACGCACAGTTCTGGCTTCGGCTGGACAATGTACACTGCCTCCAGCACAGCAAGGTGAGATTAGCTGCGCGCACGTGCTTGAATGTGCGAAAATTGTCAACTGCAAAGAGTAGATCTACATACTACAATAATGGTACAGTGGTATGTCCTAGAGTACATACCCCCCAAGAGTGTGCAACTCCACTATGGGTGCTGTCCCGACAGAATTTCACGTTGACGTCATTTTTATGACGCACATACATGTATTATCAGGCCTATCCCCAACCTGTGGTGGATAAAGCTCCATGTGATCATGTACAAACTGACTCAGGCATGTAGCACCCCTCTAAAAAGTTCGACCTAGGTTCAGCATGCACGTTATGACCATGAATGGCATGCACTGGCCATCCTACACACACATTAAATGCGGCCGTGTATCCCCCCCCCCCCCTCCCTAAAAGGGGGACCAGCTACGCCCCTGAAACTAGTTCAAGGAAAGACGTGTGATGCGGTGATACCCCGTACAAATGTCGCAAATCCCCGGAGGCATGAGCATGGCATCATAAAAAACGACTTCAACTTGAAATTCTGACGGGACAGCAGGGTATGTGGGAGTTGCACACTCTTGGGGGGGTATGTACTCCTGACTTGGTATGTACTCCTGACTTGGTATGTCTTACCCACCCTGTATGTACCAATCAGATCTGACCGTACTTACCCTCCGTGAGGACGTAGGCATGGACAACAGTGGACCAACGCACGCAGCCTCAGCAGCAGCAGCAGCAGCAGCAGCAGCAGAAGCATCACGTACAATGTTATCAGCACCGCTGGAAATCTCCGGGAATATCTAAAAGCAGAAGCAGTCGACGAAAAGCGGAAGAACATGAAAAAGAAGGAGACGTCAGGGCAAGCCAGTCCGGTAAGGCGCATGGCAAGAACACATCAACAAAGAAACATGTTGGCAAGACCAGTCAGAAATTCTGAATGTGCACTGAGGCGGGCGTACGGTGTTCAATGGCCAATAGATTAGTGATGGTGGTGTGACGGTGGTATGGTGGTTGCGGTAGTGATGGTGGTGTAATGGTGGGGGGGGGGGGGGGGGGGGGCAACACCGTTATGAACGCAGTTCTTTCGGAGGGGAGAGGGGTTTATGAATATGGTTCGTTGGAAGGAACGGAATTTCGAGAACGACAGGCTACACCGGTAGAGTGTAAATTGTATCTAGTTGTGTTCTCTTTCTTTACATCCTACTTGTACATGAAATAGACACATACACACCGGCACATACAGACACACAGACATACAGGCACAGTGGGCATCTACATAGTCACAGACATACACAACCACAACCACAGACAGACAGACATTCATACAGACAGACAGACATACATACAGACAGACACACACACCAACACACACACACACCAACACACGCACACACACATAGACACAAACAAACACATACACACACACACATGTACGCGTGCACAGCCAACACTGAAGGACTCCGAAACAAAACGGAAGGAAAAGAACAAAGAAGAGCATTTAAGGCTGACACAATTCTCTTACGCTGCGCATGGCCGACACGTTGACAGAATCCAGAATCTCAGCGGCAGTGAGCGAGTGTTGACGACACTTCTTGCTAGCTCTTCCACATTCCCTCGTGTTGGATGCAGTGGAACGAACACGTTTTGCGGGCGGAGGAACTTCGCCTGAAATAATGATATCGTCATCATCGTCCTCATCGATATGGGCGCCTCCGTTGGCCATGGCTTTGGAGAAGGAGAGTGCGCGTTTCACCGGCTTTGGAGTGTCGAGTCTGCGTGATAGCGACGAGGACATGTAGCGCTGCAGCTTGGCGGTGCCCACTGGGGTCGGGGTACACGGCGAGGAGCGCGCCGAATGAAACTCATCGTCGTCCGACAGCGGCAGTGCTGGTGATGATGAGCAGGAGCGCGAGAGAGGAGGCACTGCTACCTGGTGGGCAGCGTCTTCGGCCATGGCGGAGGCGGTGCGTGAAAACGCGCTCCCCGACAGGCTACCGCTGAGCAGCGAGGCCAAGCCGGCGGAGGCCGCACTGCCATCAGCACCACTGCTGTTGCTACTGCTGCCGCTACGGCCCGCCGCTTGCCCACCGTTGCTGGCAGCACGCGATCCTCTGGTGGTACGCAACGACGACGCCAGGGCACCATTGTCACGGGCCGGAGACCAGGACGTGCGGGCTCGCTTGCGTGCCGGTGACGTCGCGGGGGAACCAGCCCGTTCCGCGTCACACTCGCCATTCTCTCTTGCTCTGGCCAGTTGCTCGTGCAGCGTGCTCAGAGCAGATCGAGGCGTAGACACGTGGCTCTGAGCTTTCACACCACCACTACCACCACCAGCAGCAGCAGAACTACTGACTGGCGACATCGTTGACGACTGCTGCTGTTTCTTTCGGCATTCCTCGAGGCGCTGGCTCAGGCTGTTCAGCGCCGAGCGTGAAGGGGAGCTGGGCCTGGGCGACGTAGTCCCCGTGGGGGAGTCGACGGGCGATGATGGCAGGCTGGTGGAGAGTCGCTTGCTGAGCAACTCCAGAGCGGTGTGCGCCGGTGATGCTGGACGCAGATGATCGTTTGTCTTGTCGACGGGAGAGCGTCGCGTCGACAGCAGCACTTTGCCACTGGAGGCGCGAGTGTGTCTCGACGAACCGTTGCGTGCGGTTGCCGATGGCGACGACGATGGTGATGCTTGCGCGGTGGTTTTCGCCGGGCGATCACGAATCGCACCGCCGCTCTTCGAAGTCACGCCTGTCTGTATCGTGATGTCGTCCGGTGAACTTGTTCCGGCAGCGGGTGGGACATGTTGTAGCTGCGAGCCATCTCCCGACGTCTTCCTCGAATAAAGCGGTCTCCGTACCAGCGAATCAGACGAAGCCGACACGCTTTCGGCTGCTTGCTGCGGCTTCGATGATGTTGACGCAGGTACTTGCTTAGGAGGTTTGGCTGGAGACGATGGACTCGGTAACGGTGTCTTTGCCGTGCCCTTCCCAGCAGAAGCTCTTGAATGGGTGGCGCGCGGTGTCGAGGAGGGCTGAGATGATGATGACGATGATGACTGGGTGGTATCGTTAGCAGGTGTGGAGAACACGACCGAGCTTGACGCCTTCACAGACTGTTTGGAGGACGCTGCATCCGTGCCACGTGGTGTGGATTCAGACGAACGCGTGCCACTGGCTGTCCTAGGTGTGGTCGAAACTGATGAGTGGTTTTCTTGACCCGCGGGAGCAGTCCTGACGGGTGCGGAGCCAGGAGAGCTTCGGTTGTTAGCAGCGGATGTGAGGACGTGAGGCTTGTAGGTGGTCGTCAGATAGTTTGTTGTCTCGATGGTGGCAGGCTGCAGCAGCACACCGGTATAGGGCATAGATGCACACAGACACACACACAGGACGGGTGCACGTGCACACACACAGACACACGCACGCACACACACACATACACATGCACGGTTGGAGAGAAATTTACAACGGAAACAGTGAATCTTCAACCTGACGAACATAGCTATGTAAGAAGTCATCCACATCACAAAGAAGCCAGTCACACACCATACGAGTACACCATGTAACCATTTTGTCAGACAGGTCAAGCAGTCAACACTAACACACTAGACACCCTTAGCAAAAAACGTTATGTTGTAACGGTATTATCGTAAGGGGGAAAATACCGTGATTTGGGTTCGACCTTTAGCAAGATGCACGCTATTTTTAGTACGCTGTTGCCACGAGAAAAGCTTTGATTTCTCGCGATACAACCATTTTTGTCACCATATACGCGATACAAGGTGAAATGCGTACGGACTATGCAATATTTGGCCAAAACACGTACCGTTGGTCACAACGATAAATCAGCCCCCATAACGTTTTTACGCTGCAGCTTCAACGCTATTTGGGTGATCAAGGTACGAGTACCGTAAAAAATAGCGTTACCGTTGTTTGCTAAGGGTGTCTAATGTCATGCTACTACTGTAAACCGTGAAATTATTGCCATGGTCTAATTTCTGCGAAATCCGCGACCGCGTGGAAATCGCGAAATTTAGACAGCGCGAAAAGGAGATCCATGAAAGGTTTAGCAAGAATGCCATTCTGCGATCGCAAAATTAAAACCTCGCAAACCTGTCCGGATTCTGAAAACGCGAACTAAAAACGCCGCGAAAATTTCAGGCTTTACAGTATGCACTTCACCCAGAACATGATGACTGCACCCCAGTCCCAAACACGGTTTCCAAACTGCGAGTGTTCTGCATTCTAGGTCTTCATTATATTCTTGTGCTGGCTGATGATAGGCAAGAGAACCTCATGACGTGCTTCCTGTTGTCGTGCTCATAAACCTAGGTGTTGATGGTGCTGTCCAGCTTATAGCACTTAGCACTTAGTGCTGTACAGTGTGTGACCATTATCCAGCTTGACATACATGTAGGGGCTAACAGATGTGGGCAATGGGACAAAGGAAATGTCCCAACTACACGACACAGAGAGAGAGAGAGAGAGAGAGAGAGAGAGAGAGAGAGAGAGAGAGAGAGAGAGAGAGAGAGAGAGAGAGAGAGAGAGAGAGAGAGAGAGAGAGAGAGAGAGAGAGAGAGAGAGAGAGAGAGAGAGAGAAAGAGAGAGAGACACACACACATACACAGGCACAGACACACACATACAGGCAGAGAGAGAGAGAGACACAGAGAGAGAGACACAGAGAGAGAGAGAGAGAGAGAGAGAGAGAGAGAGAGAGAGAGAGAGAGAGAGAGAGAGAGAGAGAGAGAGAGAGAGAGAGAGAGAGAGAGAGAGAGAGAGAGAGAGAGAGAGAGAGAGAGAGAGAGAGAGAGAGAGAGAGAGAGAGAGAGAGAGAGAGAGAGAGACAGAGAGGGGGGGGGGGAGCTGTGTTGCGACTCTGAGTTCCACGCTAAGTCGCGGTCATCAGGCATCGGAAAATGCCCCAGCCCCAACCACACGACGGTCACAGAAGAGAGTGTGACCAATACTCACTGGCAGTTTCAGAAGGAACTCTGGGATGAAGTCCGGATGCAGGCAGGTCATACCAGCGCCTGACACGGCACGCAGTACATCCCTCCAGCTGGCTTCGGCACAGAACGCATGCGTCAGCCGCGACACCTTGACACTGTTAGGCTTCAGGAAGGAGCCACGCTGAAGAGAGACGATCACACCACCTCCAGCACGCACCAACCTGCCGCAGCCAGAGTACAAGCAGCACGAAGAAAGGGACAAGAGAGTGCTTTGGAGAGTGAGAAAATATGGGGAGGGTGTATTGGACAGAGAGAAAATATGGTGGTGGGGGAGTGAGAAAAGATGAGGGATTACTAGAGCATGAAAAGACACATACACACGCACCCCTCCCCCCTCCCCCTACAGACACAGACACAGACACACGCACTCCATACCTCTTAAACGCCTCCAGCTTGGTCTTATCGGCCACCATGAGCATGACTCTCCAGCCAGCGAATGCACCACCACGGTGAACTGAAGACGGAGACGTGCCCTCGGAAGACATGCTCTCACGCCAGTGTCGGGGAGCGGCTGCAAGCTGTTCCCAACCTGAAGAGGACGCGATGTTTCCACGCCGAACACACAAGCAGAAATTAAAACATGTCCATACACGGTGTTTTCCTCCACCAGCAAATCCAATGCAACGACACTCTTTTCTCCTTTCCTAATTCATAAGCAGAGTGAACGAGTAAAGGCACGGAACGAGAAATATTTTTTCTAAATTACAGCAAACAAGGAGGACTAATTTCGCCGTAAGCATTTCCTGTATGTCGACATGCATGAGTAAAATGTGAAACAGTGACTGAAGGGCACACAACGAGAAAGAAGGAGAGGATTAGTTCAGAACAGTTTTCTTCAGAGAAAATCTGACTACGAATACGGTGGCAGCACAACCGCAGCGTTCGGTCACTGTCCAGCTGAGTGTGTCAGCTGTGACACACTCGGATGACGCACCGCACAGCAGCTTTTACAGTAAAACCTGTCAAGGCGACCACCCGGCCAAGGCTGCCACCACTTGTCCCAAAAGTCCACTGATAGCAGGACCAAAAGGACGCTAATTCCAGTCAAAGAAAACACCTTGATAAGGAGGCTGGTATTAACAGAGACAACGTTTTGAAGGTCCCTTGAGCGGTTGTCTTAGACAGGCTTCACTGTATTTGCAAGGTTAGACTTCCGTAGCCAAAGAGAATGCACGAGATCAAAAAAAGGAAAGAAGAAAAGCCCTTGCGAAACTGTCGTCGACCTCTGGAAGAAAGGAATTTACTGCGTTCCCCACTATCACCAGGTTGTTGTCCATTACCAGAATGGAAAGCTGCTGCTCGTGCCCACAGGTGCCACCCAGGTTCACACAGCTAGTACTAACAATATATACCTATACACGAGAGTGGAAAGACATGGCAAAGGGCCAGAAAGAGACGGCAAAGGGCCAGAAAGAGACGGCAAACCGCCCACGTACCGCTCCAGATGAAAGCAGCTTTGGGAGACGGACATCCAGTCAGACTGAAGAAAGGAACACGCTCCAGGATAGTCATGGGTAACATTTTCAAAATTCTTTTCCACAAACGTTTGCATTGCCCTCTAATCAGGCGGAATGCAGACAAGAAAAGAAACCCAACAAGCGCAATGAATCTTATACAGTGGAGTCTAGAGAGGTGATAGAAACAGCACAAAGAAGTGTAGGCTGCCGGCTAGGTTGGCAAGAACTTAACAGCTATCGTGTAACACATTGTTTTCGGTGTAGATTTAATCACTGAGGTATGCAGTGTATGTGAAGGGAATACTGGTCACCAAATTTCTACACTACACCTGAAACCTGTCTGGTCACCGACACCGAAATGTCAACACCCCTAAAACGACATGTTGATGACTATCAATTGTCAGCGCTATACACAGCGGGATTTTAGATTGCTAGGTTCATTCGCACCGGCACCTTTTCGCAATTCCTTCTTCATGTAAGAACTCACACGACTCACCGTTGTTGTTTCTGGCTACTTTCCTTTGCGCTGTTTCTATCACCTCTCTCATTTGCGCTGTTCCTATCACCTCTCTCCTTTGCACTGTTCCTATCACCTCTCTCATTTGCACTGTTTCTATCACCTCTCTCATTTGTGCTGTTTCTATCACCTCTCATTTGCGCTGTTCCTATCACCTCTCTCCTTTGCGCTGTTTCTATCACCTCTCTCCTTTGCGCTGTTCCTATCACCTCTCTCCTTTGTGCTGTTTCTATCACCTCTCTCCTTTGTGCTGTTTCTATCACCTCTCTCATTTGCTCTGTTCCTATCACCTCTCTCCTTTGCGCTGTTTCTATCACATCTCTCCTTTATCAGATTCTTTGTGCTTGTTTCGTTTCTTTCTTTTGCTTGTAGTCCAACTGATGAGTAGCCAAATAAAGGACTAGTGGATAAAATTCGAAAAAAGCAACTTATGAGGAGCTTGAAGTTTGTTCTTTCTACCAGTCTGATATGGATGACCAGTGTCTACCAGTCTGATATGGATGACCAGCGTCTACCAGTCTGACATGGATGACCAGTGTCTACCAGTCTGACATGGATGACCAGTGTCTACCAGTCTGATATGGATGACCAGTGTCTACCAGCCTGTCATACTCTTATCCCTACGTGAACGCGGAGTGGCATATCCGAGCAGAGGACGTCCAACAACCTTTCTCCGGTCCTGTTGTTGTTAATTTTTATTTTACTTCGCAAGGCCAAACGGGCATTGATGTACAATACCCGGTATGCCCAACAAAGATGGGGAAAAACTTGCAGAAAATGCCCCCTCTGGTCCGCAGAATTGGGCAATTCTGTGGTCCTCTCGCTTCTACCCAACAGAGTGGTTTCACGTCAGTCACATGACCACACAGGACAGCCATGTTGGTTCCAACCCCACTCAACCCTGCATGTGTGGGTCACACGACCACACAGGACAGCCATGTTGGTTACAACCCCACTCAACCCTGCATGTATGGGTCACATGACCATACGAGACAGCCATGTTGGTTCCAACACCACTCAACCCCATGCATCTCGGGGTTACATGTCGGCCATGTTTGCTCCACAGTCCACAAGCCATGATCACTTTCTACACAACTTCATTCACATGACTGAGATGTGAACACCACTCGACCCCATGCATCTATGGGTCACATGACTGAGATGTGAACACCACTTGACCCCATGCATCTATGGGTCACATGACTGAGATGTGAACACCACTCTATACTATAGACGGTCATCGCTAGGGAGTTGGGATGACGCAAATTGCAATGCGTACCAGGAGCAACACGATCAGCGATCGCTCACCGGGTCGAGACACAGCGCACGATCGGTGCGTGCGTTCCACCGTCCACATGCCAGGATTACTTCTTACACAACTTTAGTCACATGACAAAGATCTGAACACCACACAATAGACGATCATCGCTAGGGGCCAGTTGGCATTTTCGACAGTGGGCTTGGCGGCCTCGCCGTCTTTGGGGCGATCCGCAAGCAGATGCCTGATCAGCTTTTTGGGACGATGTAATGCACACCATGAGCAACATGATCACCCACTCACCTGGTCGAGACACATCGCACGATCGGCGCGAGCGTTCCACCGTCCACTCGTACGGCTCCTCTTCCAGCCAGCGTCCGTGACGACACGACTCCTTGATATACGCCGGCGACAACACCCACTTGCCTGGACAGAGGCAGCAGCGGCAACGGCAACAACAGCGGCAACGGCAACAACAGCAGCAGCAGCAACAGCAGCAACAGTAGCAGCAGCAGCACCAGCAGCAGTACCAACAGTAACAGCAGCAGCAGCAACAGCAGCCGCAACAGCAGCGGCAACAGCAAGGTAAACCCTAGCGGCAGTTGCAGTGCCTAACGGTGGGGGCGAGGGGATAAGTCTCCCAACCACTGGCACAGGTCCTGAAAACCTCCAGCAGCACAAGCACAGCGCAAACACATACAGAACGTAAGAAGAACTGCAGCCATGGACCAGCTCGTCGTCACATATCATCACCAAATGTAACTTTAGTGCAATCATTCACTTTGTGTCTCCTCGTAAATTACTGACCGTAGTGATTCGCATGAAATGCAACTATATGTGGGACCAATCGACCTTTCAAAACAATTTCAAATAATTATGGCAAAAGCTCGAGTATAACCGCACAGGCTTAAATGTGGGTCATTACGGTAATCAAGGCACGAGGTGATCAAAAACCCAATACTGTTCAAGAGAGGGTTTCCTTTTTGACTGTCTGAGGCAGAGCAGCAGCAGCAGTATACTGCTGCTGCTGCTGCTGCTGCTCTGCCTCAGACTGGCTGTAGCACTGAAACTAACTAACTTTATGCACATGCCCTGGTCGCACTCCACTGAGTCTGACTGTAGTGTAGACCGGCTGTTGATATCCACTAATTGAAAGTCAAACTCCCAGCAGACTAGTAGCACTATATCTGCGTCTCATGTGTCATTAGCCACAGCCATCTGGGCAAAACTACTTCACTTCACGAACCAGTAATAATTACTTTGTGACACAGGATGCACAGCACTATCACGACACCAGTATCAGTTGCAGGAGAAAGGGCATTGTAAGCGCTAGATACCTGCATGAACTAATTACTTGACTGCTGCTGCTGCTGCTGCTGTCCTAGCTGATCACTGGACCAGAACCAAAACTGACACTGCCCCCCATCCATGATTGGGCTGTGGTTCCAGATCAGTGCTCCTCTCTATGACACTAACTTCACTGGGCACAGCTTCCAGTTCCACTGCTCAACACTATCATACTGTTCTCTCACCCCTAGGTAACCAGCTCTGGAGGCCTTTGTGTTTTCAATAGCAGCCACATTCGTAGGCAGACTATCAGCTGGGTCGCCTGCCATAGTCGACTGGAAATCTTCTGCGTCCAGCACGCTGACACTATATACATCCTGCTCACCCAGACAGCTCACATGGTGCAAATCCACAAGTAATTACTTGGTGCCTCGGGAGGAGTTGGTTGCGACGCACGAGCGCCTGTGCTTCCGTCAACAACCCTTGCGCGACACCTGCGTTGAGCTGGTTCACTGCAGTACCACCTGCTGCTTCAGCGACTACCACTACAACGGACACAGGTGTTTTCGAAGATGGTTCAGCGCAAGGCCCTTTTTGCTGCAGGATAAAATAGGCCCAACAAACTCTTTGGTGACCTTTTGGCCACTTGGATATACAAGTAGCACGCTGACACCAGCAAAACCTCCAGACCGACACCACAACAACAATGAACATAGGGACTTGATACCGTTCACCACTGAACTAATAACAACTTGCAAATGTGCAGTACAGCGGCCTCAAACAACTACAGTGCAGACTAAACTAGCTACGTAGCTACGCGGGGTACTCCCGATCTTCCAACCTTTTCGGAAAACCAACGAAAAACCCCAAAAACAGTGGTGCATGTCCGGCCACAGCGCCCAAATATAGTGTTCTTCATCTACTGCTAGCATACTGTACGCGTACAGAACACGAAACACAGCGCATGCATGCATGCAGCGGAACGCGCACCCGGACAATCGATCAGTGACTGGATTCGCGTTGTTTGGCATGGAAATTGAAAAAAATGAGGGGGGGGGGGGGGGACATAATCCCATCATTTCATAATTTTATTTGATTCCAAGCAATACATGGCTGGGGTAGCCAATGACCACTTTACGTGGCGATTTCAGAGTTTTTATAGCCAACCATCATCATTCAGTAATAGGTTTTTCATTTGACCCGACGAGACCACACGACGCTTGAAGATCACAGCACAGCACGAACAGTTCACCAGCTACACTCCACGAAAGCAAGTAGTAGTACTCCTGACAAGTCTTGTTTCGTTCCATAGAGATAAATTTTTATCTCTATGGAACTAAACAAGACTTGTCAGGAGTACTACTACTTGCTTTCGTGGAGTGTAGCTGGTGAACTGTTCGTGCTGTGCCGTGATCTTCAAGCGTCGTGTGGTCTCGTCGGGTCAAATGAAAAACCTATTACTACTATTTGACGGACCTATTGAAGATGGCAAAAAAAGAATCATCATCATTCATCTGATCGCTTACCCGAGGCACACGCGGACAGGAACTTCTCGTTGCGATTCGGCAAGCGTGCTATGACATGCGTGGTGCTGGAGTCGAACGTCTGCAATCCACAACGTGCAGACACACACACACACACACACACACACACACACACACACACACACACACACACACACACACACATACACAAGAATACATCTGTTGTTTTCCATTGCTAGCCTAATCTTCATACTGCTCTCTCCAGGTTCCTTTAGTACTCCTTTTGTTTTGTTTTGTTTTCTCTCTTTTTTTCTCCTTCTTTTTCCCAGTTGTCCCCACCATGGCTGGTTAAAATCGCCCGCATCACATGCTTATTGGCACTATGTCATCGTGATTGTGGAATAATAATAACAATAATAATCTACCCTACACAAGCTGCAAGTAAGATATCAAAACTAGACGGCAGATCGAAGAACAAACCGACTGAAGACTTGACATCCTCTCAATGTACCAATACAGGCCCGCCCTCGCATTATAACGAGTCCGGTTTATACAGAAATCCCGTTTATTTATTTTTTATTATTTACTTGAAAAGCATGTAACCACCAGGAAAGCTGACAAAGAAAAAAGAGTAAGACAAGACAGATAAAAAGAGAGCTGAGAGAGAGAGAGAGAGAGAGAGAGAGAGAGAGAGAGAGAGAGAGAGAGAGAGAGAGAGAGAGAGAGAGAGAGAGAGAGAGTTGGGGTACGGTTTGAGGAGGACAAGACACGTTAGTACAAACAATATGTTTTCGGATGATCGCTTAGTGCGTGAAACTCGCAGTTAAAATACTTTTTTCCGCCCTCGTATTGTTTGAACTAGCTCCGCCTCTCGGTATTGAGCACTCTCTTGGACAGCCTGGAACCTCTGTTTTATAACTGCCGTTAGTAAATAGAAATGTGAAATCGCCTGGCAAAATATGGTCCACACAACTGTTTACAGGGCCGGCTAAAACATAATTCGTCAATACAGTAAAACCGGTGACTAACGACCACCCCTTGGGGGCCAAAGAAAGTGGTCTTCTAGTGGCAGGTGGTCCTTAGTTAGAGGTTTGCACCGCACAACCATAATATAATGAATGTGAGACCGACCGTGCCTGGCGAAGTGGCCTGTAGTACCAGGCTGATCGCTAGTCACGGTGGTCTTTAGTTACAGGTTTTACTGTACATAAAGCTGGTTATAACGACCCTTGGTCTGTGTCGCTGGTGTCCGAAATCCTCAGTATGACATAATAATCCATGCAGGAACGGGTATGATCGATTGGGCGAATACCGAGCAAGTACGCACCGAGTGAGCGTAATCGTTCGGCCGAATCCGGAGTAGGTGTACTTGGAGTGGAATCCGACCACACCGGCCCCCACACCCGGAATGGCTGGAGTGGAAATGGACTTTGGCGTTTTTCGACAGCTTTCACAGAGTCTGTGTACGATATGCGTACATGTTGCGTACTACACCCTTGTTTTGTTCGATTGGGCCAGCGTTGCTCGGACTACACCACCCGCTCACACTCAATCCAGATTCGCCAATCGATGACACTCCAACATCAATGCCCAGATATTCAAGCAGAAACACACAACATATTATATCAGTGTGCTGTATTTAGAAACATACGATCCGTGGCGACATTCAAGGAACTGTATTGGGAGATTCTCAATACAGCAAAAACCTGCCCCTGGGTATCGAGCACTCTATTGGACAGCCTAGAACCTTTCTGTTTTATAATGGAATCCATTATGTCTATATGATCACGTGGTACCAGACCCCCTGCTAAAGACCACCTGTAAAGACTGCTTCCTTGGGCCCCATGCCCAAAGGGTGGTCGTTAGTTACAGGTTCTACTGCAGTAATAATAAGTATTGTTATCTACTAGCATAACTATTTTACTCTTGCTACTAGTAATAGCGAGTTGAAGTACACATTATTGCAGCAAAGAGCAAGAGTGGGTTGAAATTCGCAAACAATTGGACATGTTTTGCCAGGCAGTACACAGCTGGAAGCTAGTGAAGGACAAATGATTTGTTCAACATTGTGTTCTTACCGAATCCTCTATGACTACACCATCCAGGGATCGAATTTTAGTCGTGAGCTCCTGTCGCTCATCAGAACTGAAGAATGTCAGCATAAATCGTCGACTGGTGGGCTGTCTCGCGCGGCGATTCCTGGCCGCTTGCTGTGCTTGAGGATCCGACATTTTCTTACTGGAGCCAATTTCTAGAAGACCTATCATTCTCCACTCCCACACTGGCTGACCATAGCTCGGTACGCTTCCACACTCGAGCCAACCATTCGCAACACTACATGCGGCCAGACATCAGTTTGAACTGGCCGTTCAACACAGATCTGGGTCGGACCTGCTCTCTCACGACTGCCCAGATAACAGCTTGGAACTCCAAACGAAAGCTTCTTTCCCAGATCAAACTCACACGCAGGATAATATCGAAGGGAAATACCCACACCCATACTTCGACTTCCTGTACTGTGCCAACAGCCACGCAACAAGTCATGCATGGTGCATCGTGGATCATGTGGATAGGCCGCACAAAGATTTTGACTTGCATCTTCCCGCGAAAAATGGAAATGCGTTGCTGTAGCTAGCCTGTACACGTAGGCGACTCATACCACGCACTGCGCCCACTCACGTGCAAAGATATGCGGGAGTACGAGTATGCGGCAAAATTATGCAGGATTAAAATGCACGAGTCGTCTCTCATTGGACGATTGGTACAACTTTAGCGTACAGCTTCATGAACGTATACAACTAACTTTGTCGTACAAACTCACGTGCATGATGCAGATTTCAGATGACCCAAAAATCAAAACATGCACAGCTACAGCTACAGACTCAGCAGTTACTTGTACAATGCTTTGAGTTGCGAATTTGAGAATATTTACTGCATTTCAGAAGGCGAGAGCTTGATCGTGAGGTTCCCGGACCGTGATTTCCCTCCAGAATACAACAGGAAAACTGCATTGTCACTATGGAGCAAGTGGAGGCAAGCCAGCCGTCTATGCGCGACGAATTTGCGAGCCGAGTAAGAATCTGATTATTTTAGAAAATGGAACATCATTTTGAAATTGGCTGAAAAATGTAACTAATTTATGTCGACTTTGCTGGTCCCAACACTGGCAACAAACTGATCACCGACTATAGTGCGTTTCAAAAGTCCAGACCTCTGGTTTCAAAAAACCGGTTTAAAGGGACCGTCCAAGGTTACCAATAGTATTTTCGAAACGAAAAATATTTCGTTTGGCTGTCCCCGGGGAAAATTGCGGAAAAAAATCGCAAAAACGCGGGGAAAACGCGGCATAATAGAGAGGTTAAGTAACACGTTGTTTGCCCTTTTTCAAAAACGCGGTGCAAATCTCACGTTACGTGTAATTTTTAGAGGTTAAGTTACACGTGCTACGTGACGTGAAATTTTGCCTGGCAGGATTCGGGTTTAGTTCGCGCAAATATCTAATCTTTCAACAAACTCGATAAAATTCCGGAAACTCACACAAATTCGGTCGGAATAACCAAGCGAAACTTCCAAAAACTCACGTCATGAACTTACGTGCGGGACAGTCAACTCACGTAAAACACGTCAAATTTTACGTGAGTTTTTTCACTTTTTGACGTAAAAGTTCACGGACGTAAGACTTTTACGTGAAACTTAACCTCTCTAATATGGCATAATTTGCGGTGAATTTGCGGTAAATATGCTGTGAATAATATTGATCCACAGCAACATGCTAATTCAAAATATAAAACTCGAGAAAGTACCAAGGCATCTTTTTCCCTATGACTGGTTTGTGCGGAGCCGTTCAACCAGGGCACAAGTCTCGCTACCTGTAGCTCGCACTGTCCAGTTTACAAAATCCCCTTTGTTTCATTCCTATTCTGACTGGCTCAAGCTATCAAGCCTCGCCCACCACTGCCACAGCATGTCTCAGTTTCGCCAAGTTGTTTGTACTGAGTTGCGTTTTCCTGCAGCACTCACGCGTGTTTAGCTAAACAATGTAATTTCCGGCTATCTCACTTAATTGGCTGAGCTTTGTTTTCCTCCCTGTTCCTTTCTTGGCTGAGCTTTGTTTTCCTCCCTGTTCCTTTCTTTCTATTGTTTTCTTGTTTTCTTTTGTACTTTTACCATGGCTGGTTATCGCCCTCATCTCTGGGGTTGCTCCCCACATTAGTAATGCGTGCACATGCTACGAGATTGAGTTTAATAATAATAATAATAATAATAATAATGTGCGGCAATTTTCGGTGAGTATGTAGTGAAATCAATCAGTTACAAGTCTCTGGTGTGAGCACTCGTCATATTTTGAGTAAAAAGCCGCCACGATGAGACGTTGCTGACCGAACAGTGCACTGTGTGTACGTGTAGTGCAACAAAAAAGTTCAAAAAACGCGGGGAAATCGCGGAAAACGCGGTCTTTTAAAAAATCGCAAAAAACGCGGGGGGGGGGGGGGGACGCGGCCGCGGAATCGCAATTTTCCCCGGGGACAGGTTTGGGGGTGGGTGGGTTTTAGGAGTTTCGTTTTGAAATAATTATTGAATATACACGGAGAGTGCCCAGTTACTTCGGGTGCAGAAGATTGAAATCAATAGAGAGGTTCCGGGGTACGATTTTCCGTGCCAAAATCCGTATGGGCGCTACGGATTTTTTCCAGGCGTGCTCCATACGATTTTTCGGCACGGATAATCCGTGTGGACTGGCTTTCATACGAACCATGTTTCGTATGGAGATTTTGCGTCATCGGGTGCAGAAAGATTTTTCGCGTACAAATTTGGTACGAGAAACATCGATTTTCCGCGGGAAGTTTTGATTTCGGTACAAATTTTCAAAATAAAAAGGCATAGCGCGGGAATGTGACGTGTTTGCGATCGTAACCTAGGCAATGACGGCAAACACATACGTTCCGTACCCCGGAACTTTTCACTGCTCGAAAACGACGTATATAATATCCGTAGCGCCTCCACGGATTTTGGCACGAAAAATCGTACTCCGGAACCTCCCTAATATTTTGTTGGACTGCGTTTTACCTGCAAAAAGAGTGGGTTGGTTTGGTGTTTCTGTTGAAAAATACAAACACTTTTCGTTTTGCAAAAACAATCGGTAACCCCGGACAGCACCATAGGCCAGCATCTACTGTAAAACCGGAAAGTTTAGCGACCAAAAAGTTGTAACGTTTTTGTAATTTTTGGCATGGTAACGTGCAGAAAGTTTAACGATGGCTACCTGGCCACCCATCTGTATGCGCATCTTTACACAAACATGTCGCAACGACTTTTCTTCAAATAACGAAAAAATGGTCGTTAAAACGTTAGACTTTGTGACTCGTTTGACTTTCCGGTTTTACAGTATACCACAGAAAATCTGTGATCACTTTGTGCGTAAAATTTCTGAAATTGGGCGTTTGTTATCCAATCGCTTTGAAATTTATATGAGAAAAATTGCGGGAGCTGCCTGAGCAATATTCCGAAGAAATTTCTCAAAAGCTCAGATCTGTATAAGATCTGGTTACGTTGGTGGACAGTTTAATAGTCATAACTCGTAACATTTTGCCCTTCTCCTTTTTCACCAAATTTGAATTTTTCGAAGAAAAAAAGCCTAGGGGTCTATACTTTTGAAACGCACTATAATCTGTATTGGATTTGTAACTGCGTTTGATCAAGCTTGTCTGTGCTGACGTTGTGCCTGCGAGGTGTAAAACAACAACAACAACAACAACAACAACAGCAAAAGCAAAAACAACATGTTTGCTATTGGCCAAAGTTGAAAGATGAAAGAAAGAGTTGCTGCTGCCACTGCTGCTCGTGTTCTTGTTCTTGTGTGATGCAATGGACGTCTGTGTCTCTGTCATCGCCATTGCTTGCCGGTGTTGCCCAGTATCATTACCCTGGCCCAGATACCGTTGCGTTGAAGAAAGGAATCACGGTTGACGAGATCCGCGAAGGCGTCAACATCGAGCCGAAAGACGGTCAAATGCGAGAGCCCGGCGTTCAAGGTAAGACATGGGGACAGGTGAGGGAGAGCGGGGAATGGGAAGTGAAGGATGGAGAATGTGCGTTATTGGTTACATTCACTGCCTCGCTGTGCAACGATGCCATTACCAAGCTTCGTTTCTTTTGACACAATAAAGCTGAGCTGTGATTCCACTATCCAGTGTCTGCTCCAGAGCCGGGTCAGCCGGGTCAGTGACCTGGTTGGGGGAGGGGGGGGGGGGGGGACTTGGACCCGTCTGGAAAAAGAACACTGGGTCACTTGTGACCCGGTTGGGACTCAATCAGGGAGTTGTAAGATAACTACGACTCCCTGATGTTCAGTAGCCACACTTGAACGTACCTGGCTCTCCGATTGCCAGAGTTGTGCCAGGTACTGTGTTTTTCGGAGTATAGTGCGCACCTTTGTATAACGCGCACCCCCAATCTTCATTGGGGGTGCGCACTTCAATCTTCATTGAAGTACATGCATTTCATATTCGGAGCATAGTGCGCACCTGCGATTTAGGGCCTAAAATAGCACATCTAAAGTGCGCACTATACTCCGGAAAATGCGGTACGTGTGTGCCCGGTTGGTTTGAAATCCTAGAGCAGACACTACTATCAACTTCCTGAATGACAATCCCTGATCGCGTACAAGATCAATGTTGTTATTCAAGGGTCGTAAATATTCTTGGGAGTTCGAAGTATGGAGTCAAGTGAGTACGAGGTCTGAAGATCCCTACCTCCCTCTCCCTCCCTCTCTTATTCTCTGTGCATATAATTGGTGTATAGTCACTGTAGATGCTTCACCCGTTCTCTTTTTTCGCAGAACAAAACTGTTATGAAGGACCTGATGTACTGAAACACCTCAACTATGATTGCATTGATCAGGACGATGAAACGGTGAGTATGGCATACCGTATGCTTCGGTGTGTGTGCGTGCGTGCGTGCGTGTGCGTGCGTGTGTGCACACTCGTGGAAATAGGGATTCACTGGCCAGAAAAAGCCACTTCAATCAGCTGTGTGGTGGGTACCAGGCTAAAATTAGTGGCGGTCGATTCATCAGCCTTGCAAGCTGTTGAATGGTGTAATCCCAGCACAAGCTGCTATGTCTAGCATAGCTGTTCGCTATCATCGTTTCCGCGATGGGCGTGTCTGAGTCGTGTGTACGCGGGTGTGCATGTGTGTGTGTGTGTGTGTGTGTGTGTGTGTGTGTGTGTGTGTGTGTGTGTGTGTGTGTGTGTGTGTGTTTGTATGAATCCATGTGATACATTGATGCCGTCAATCCCCTTTCTACACACATTGTCCTCAGCATTGTCCTCAGCCACTTAGTGCGGTGTAGTGAGCACATAGGTTGTATCATCTCCCAAGTCCATGCAAAGTCTGGGTATCCCTGGGAGTGGTGGTCATTACCGTACTTACGCGATTAGAGCCCTCTCTTGAATAGCGCCCCAGTGTATAAGAGCGAGTGAAAAATATAAAGCCCTCTCTTGAATAGTGCCCCCCCCCCCCCCCCGGGCTTGTACCTAAGCGCGTGTGCACGTTTGGTGTGCTTTTGCTAATGTTCTTGCCCATGTCATCGCACTGGTGGTTTCAGGATCGAGATCGCAGTTCTTGTTGCCGTTTCTGTTGAGTCGTGATAGTTTACAGTAAACTTTGGGCTCTGTTTTTCTTTGCCTTCTTTGTTTTCATGCTGGATGGCGTAAATGTACCAGCATTGAAAAAAAATAGTGCCCTCTCTTGAATAGTGCCCATCCGTGATGGACATTGAAGCTTTTCATGCTTTTCCGTCAAAGGAGTAGTAAAAGTGTATGGCGAGTCAGTTCATTTCGAAATGTTTCTCATTATAACCACAAACAGCCGCTGTACGTATACTTGAAAATTCTGACTGGTCTCCTACAATCTCACCTGTTCCAGTTTTGACTGCTGTGTTTGCCCTTTTCTTTCATGTCTGTTTCTTGTTTCCAACTTTCTCTCTTGTCTGCAATACATCCGGTGCTCTCTGTTCACATCCGGCTGCTCGCGTTGTATGCCATCCAGAATTCGGTGAGACTCAGCATAGTCTTCATGATATGGGGTACAGTTTTAGCAAAGGGGGGGGGGGGGGGAGTAGCAGTGTTGTATTCTGTCCTTATAGGCGATTCAGACTGCGGCCAACTGTGACGTTTCTATGACTCGGACGTGTTTGATCAGCGATTGTGCATAGAATTTTGAAACACGACTGCATCACCATTGAAATTCAAGTTGACACGTGATTTTGGCCGTAGTCTGAATCGCCTATTACTGATCACATGGTCGATCTGATTAGCCTGATCAGTACGTCGTCTGCTGTTGCTGTTTCAGTTTGTCCGAGTCCCTACCGTTATTTCTTACACCTGCCCTATCCTCACTGTACCACATAGAAGTAGCGATGATACTAGTGTTGAAACGATCTCACCGGATACTCGTTAGCTCGCTCGCCAGAAACTCGGCTCGTTTGTGCGGCCAGCTCGTTTGCACTAACGAACACCGTACACCGCACTCCGTACACATGGCAGTACATGTCGACCGGGGAGTCGTAACATATTTTACGACTCCCTGGTCGATCGAGAGTCCAGTCCCGCGCAAACTGAAAATCACTCGCAGTTACAGTGACTTGTATGCCTGCACGACACTTGAGCTGTTTCAGTTGTCGTTGCAGCTTTGGTGGACTCTACTGATATGATGTCTTGTTCCGCATCTGCTGACCTGTCGCAGGATATGCTTCGGTCACCTCTCCATTCGAGTGAAAGTAAATAGTTACGCTCAGTCGTTTGGAAGTTTTCTCCCGCGATGCAGCGAAGACCAGGGCTACTTGCAATCTTTGCAAAACGGTCTATTCTTACAAAAGGCTACTCGACGACGGCGCTGAAAAGACATCTCGACACCAAACAGCAGTCTGAAGTGAAGCAGCAGCAACCCAAAATGCCGGCGGTGATAATTTGAACCAGCTGAAAAAAACCGAACTTAGAAAAAAAATTATTCAAAAAATCATATTTGCCACATCAATGAAACTCGTTAGCTCGCTCGATAGCTTGCTCGTTAGTGGAACTGATCGCTCGTTTGTTATAGATACGCTCGTTTCAACACTAGATGATACGTGGCGATATTATCCACCACACTGCCACGCCTCGTTCTGCAGCAGTGCGCCTGCCATTACAATCATCGTGCTGACCACACACACACATGTCACCAAATGTGCCAGATGTGCCAATGTTCCAATGTGCCAAGGTACGAACACAAACTTACCAACATGTCAAGGTTCAAACTAGGGCTGAAACGAATGCTCAATGAAGCGAACGAATATTCTCTTTCCGAATACGTGTGAAACGAAGAATATTCCGAATATTCTAAACCATACAATATCCATGGATACCTAGTTGTATCCATGGTAACCATAGACCATCAACTGGCGTATACCCCAATTACAGGAGGGACATTTGAAAAGGACAATGTTATCGTTTGTCTTGCTGATGACAACACATGGAAGGTGGCAATCTTACCCACTTTCTGCACCAAATAAACCTGTTCGATATCAAAAAGACGAATTTCTGTACATTTACGAACATTCTTATTCTACACTAACGAAGAATATTCTTTTTCCGATCTGCACATTTCGAATATTCGAATAATTCGAATATTCCTTTCAGCCCTAGTT